TACAGAAGGGAGTACGAAAGACGAAGGGTCGAAGCGACACGAACGGTTGGAAAGCATCTGGACCGTCGGAGCAGATGGCATCGGGCAGCTTCAGGCAGGATGTTGAGAAGAAAAAAGTGGGAACAGTTTCGTAACTATACGTGCCGCACGGTTGGGTCTGAATTCGAATAAGGGAATCTACCCCTTAGAGTACATGGCTAGCTATGACGTTTCGAATTCCCCTGTGCTCTTATATAAACCGATGTATTTGCATGTTTTAATCATCTCAATCATTTTACATTCATTATGATATCAAGTCAGCTTTCTTTCGCTGCGTTACTCGGATTTTGCGAACCTTCTTGGGCACGATCTAACTTCTGATCGCAACAGTAGTTATGCCTCATATTTTGTCGCGTGTGTGGTATATTGTGTTTTCGCGAAAATCTGACCTTGAAAATTCGTTGACTCGCTAGCCGACGACTGTCAGAATATTATGCTCTAGCCTGTAGTGGGGTGCTCTGTAGCGAGTACAACCCTTCTAGGGTTTGCTATTTGTATCCCCATTCTTGCTAGTTCAGTCCCCTCTCTTTTTGCCTAATTCTCTCGACATGCTATCAGAGCAGGACGATCCTGTTGGGTCGATCCTGTGGGTGGGCCCACCACCAAATGCTTCCGCTGCTGTTCTACTGGTCGCGCGACGACTTCTTCCTGCCGTGCGAATTTTTTTTTCTAGGGTTTCGGCGGTTTTCATCCCGCCGTGCGCTCGGGGCGCGCGGCGGTTTTCTGCCCGCCGTGCGCCCCGAGGCGCGCGGCGGTTTCCCACCGTCGAAGCGCCCTCCCCCCGTCGCCGTCGACCCCCCGCGTCGCCCCGCAGCCCCGCGCGTCGCCCCCGACGTCTCGTCGCGACACCTTGGGGAGCCGCGCGCGGCCCCCCGCTACCTCGTCGCGACGCCGTGGGGAGCTGCGCGCGGCCCCCGCTGCCTCGTCGCGACGCCTTAGGGAGCCGCGCGCGGCCCCCCGCTGCCCCGTCGAGGCGCCCTGGGGAGCCGCGCGCGGCCCCCGCTGCCCAGAGGTGGCGCCCTGGGGGTCGCGCGCCTTCCCCCTCGCCGTCCCCCGCGCTCCTTCTCCCTTTCGCCCGTTTTAGGGTTTGGGGGTGGGGAGTGTGGGGGTGGCGGCTGTGGGGGTGTCGGTTGTGCGTTACTCTACCTACTCCTCCTCCTCCCTAGTCTCCCTCTACTGCAGCTGCCGCTGAGGGGGGTGGTGTGTGGGAGTCTAGGGTTTGGGGTTTAAGGGGGGGTACCGTGGGAGTGGAGCTAGGGGTGAAGCAAGGGGTGTGTGTCGAGGGGTGTGGGACTGTTGGGGGAGGTTGAGCGGAGACTGCCGTCGTGTCGTCCGCAGCACCTGTATTCCGGGGTTCCGCGGACCTCCGGTAGCTCAGAGAGCCGGCTGCACCTGTCGCCCGTGGGTCCGCTGCACCCTCCGCAGCGACTATTACCCCTGTAGTCCGGGGCTCTGCTTCCGGTAGCCACTAGCGTTGCGCCAGAGCCGTCTGATGCCCGTGTGTCTGCAGCTTCAGTCGTCGCCTCCACTCCTTTCTCCTCTCGCCAGCCCTCCTCCTCCTCATTTGTCCTCTGTGACCGCCTCTAGCTTTGCTCATAACTTATAAACTATTACTTCTTGCTTGTGCTCAGAATGTGTGGTGACATCGTGATCCACCCTGAGCTTGTACTGCTTTGTTTCCTCTGCTGATTACACCCCACTTTGGCTATGGGGGTGTGTCAGAATATTATGCTCTAGCCTGTAGTGGGGTGCTCTGTAGCGAGTACAACCCTTCTAGGGTTTGCTATTTGTATCCCCATTCTTGCTAGTTCAGTCCCCTCTCTTTTTGCCTAATTCTCTCAACAACGACTAATTTTGCTTGACCAATTACGGTCGATCAGATGATTGGTTCGATCCTTGGACGATCGGTTGACCCAATTGAACATCGCAAATGGGGTAGCAGTCGAGCACTATAGATCTTTACTGTAGCACAGTTACCTGTCTGGTAACCGAAAATCCACCTAGTAAATCGATCCCATCCCTTCGCCGATCGGTGTGAGTGTCTGCGTTCTTAGGCCAAGGGGCCTAAGAGGTCGAGAAGTGAACTTACTGATTTGTACAGCATTCGACCTTCAGGGTGGAGGCGCCAACGTAGGGACAGGAACAACGTTCACGTAGCCGCGTGATACGCCCTCTTTCTCGTTACATTAAACTGCGTAAACACGCAAATGTTCCTTGGTAGCAAATGGAATTTTTCTTTTAACCGCTCGTATGAGGTGGGTGCTGTGAGGAGAGGTTCAGAAATTTCAGTTTTCCTTATATACCCTACTCAACCATTCTAGAAAGCTCATTGGCCGTTTGTGAACGTAACGCACTACGTTCGATCGCATTGGGGCGAAATCCACTATAACGTGGTTGATAACACGCTCCTGGGTGCAGTGAGTTTCTACAGTGGGTATTCCATTATCGAAATAGGGTTGAGCGTGTTACACCTTCGCAAAGATCGCTGCATTTTGACGATCGCGTAGGCGATCCGTACGGAACAGTGTCATACTTACCGCTGTACAGTAATCACTGTGTCAGGTGATGTACCAACAGAGGAAGGATCGAAATTACGAGTTCTCTATGCTACACGATTTGGGTGTTTTCTGAGAGATCATGGTGACTGCCAATCTCTCGATGATCCTTGCATATTGGTACCAAAGACAGTGTGATCTTTGATGACGAAAACTTTAATGTCGCAACCTGATGTAACAGCATCGCAACTAATCAGAGTATTCGTTTGATGAATTTCGAACCAATGAGGGTTTTGAGTTCCGGTCAGTAATGCAATCAACTTGGTCAATGCAAATATCCAATGCTCGCGACATCGCCTAATTTCTGGCGACGTCGCCTGGTCGCAGAGGATCACCATTGCAAATTTGCAGATGGTACACCAACAAGGATCGTGATGTGCCCCAAAAACATGTTGTTTGACCACCCGTAATCCTACGGTTGTGCTGCTGGTGATCTCAGCTACGCGATCCTTGGAAATTGGGCAGGTGTAACATGCTCTTACGAATTTACTATGGCGAGAAACGAAGTGTACGGATTTCTCTTCCTGAATCACACAATGTAGACGCCAGTTGGGGTTGTCACATTCGTCATCTTAATGTGGACGCCAGCTGGAGCTGTCACATTCGTCAATGAGATTGCAGTGGAGATATTTGTTTGTACACAACGGAGATATTTTCTGTTCGTCAAATTCGCTTCCACGAAATGGCTCTATGAAAATGTCGCTTCTCGTTGGGCAGTCATAGCCCAATCATGAAAAACTTGTAGCAAGTTATGTCCGCAATGTTAGGAAAAATACCATCCAATAGGATTCATGCCATTTTCTGTGGGAAGTGCTTTAAATGTTTTGCTGTTGATGCTGCCCGCATTTACCACCAGCAGTCCTACCACAGTCGTTGGCGCTGGTTCGTTCGAATCACATGCATATCACGCGGGGCATAAGAATTCAGAAACTGATTCGGCTGACGAGAAGTCCGGAAAGTATCATTCTTTTAGGATAAATATCTCCCCGAGCTTGTGGCTTCCCTTCCAAGTGCATGCGCGATGTTGCAAAACCGGCCGCAAGCAGCAGACAAGCGGATCTGGGCTTGTTGTAAGATATTTTCCCGCGTGCCGTTTTTGGTCGCCACTGGTCAAACATGCCACGCCACCAGAATCAAGGCTTCTCGAATCTGGCTGTTGCGTCAACCAAAACCCAAACCTATATGCCACCTCCGCCACACAACTCCCTCATCGCTTACAGGGCAACGTATCGGGCAAGCTGCTCCGCACGCCGTTCTGCCCTCTCTGTTCCTCTCTCCCCCCGCCGTCTTCCCTTTCCCTCTCTGCGCGAGTTGTGGCCCAGTTGTCCCTTCGGAAAAGTGAACTAATCTGACGTGGCACCAGAAGCAGAGAAAGCCAATCAGTGCCAAACGCGTAAATATCTTCGTTTACGCTGTACAGTTACCTCCTTATTGCGCAGTTCGCCAGCTTCTGTACAGTGCGCTGTTCCTTCCGCGTCTGTACAGCTGATGCTCACACCATGCACGCGAATTTGCCTTTACCAGATGGATACGCTGCACCCGAGGTTGTTTCCCCAGCTTCATGCACCTACATTACAAGCGCGTCGCGTGGTTATCAACCAATAGTAACGAACATACCGAAGTCAAGCAGAAGAGACTGAAGTCAAACGAGGTAACAGATCTTGTTTATAAGCACATGCGAATCCTTTTTAGCTAGCTGCGAATTGACGAAACTTATGCGAATATCTTGTGACAGCTTATACGCCCCCTTCATAAGGCAACCGGGAGGGGCTCAAACAGGCATCAGCTGTAGTTGATTTTGGTGACGCAGATCTCACGTATTCCAGACAACCTGGAACCCGGTCGCGCGCGCGAGGGATGGGTGGGTGGGTGGCTGCGAGCATGACCCGTTTTGTCTCTCCTCGCTCCCCTCATGTCTCGCCCTGCTTGCCCCTCACCTGGGCCTGGTTTGGCACCGCCAACAGCCACCACCACTTCCTGTCGGAATGAAGGAAGCATGTCCTTGTTATTCCAATGCCGTCCCTCGCTCAGGTAGTCCCATCCCAATGCTGTAAAACGTACTCACAGCTTGCCAGTACGGTGACTGACGTTCAGCAGTTATTCTCACGCAAATCGGCAGTCGTTCTGTTTTGTGGTTCCAGCAACCACTCGCTGTCGCGCCCTGATAAATCGTCGACTAGAAAACGTAGCCGAAATGCCACCGCCAGACTCACCACGCTCCGACGCGCCGACGGCGAACGCCTGTCACCTGACTCACGAGGTGCGCCCCTTGCCTCGTTAGGAACCACGAGCGGCGCATGCCGTTAGGAACGACGAGCGGCGATTCCCTGCTCATTAACGGCGTTCTGGGTTTCGCATGCCTTTCCTTGGGCGTGAATCATTGTCTGAGAACGTGAATCACGCCTCATGACGAGTGCCTCACATGCGCTCACTTGTTCTCCCACTTGTCACGCTCCATGCACCCCACTCGAGTCGCCCCCGTGCATGCTCGTGCTGTACCTCACGCGTCTCTCACATGTTCGCAAAGGCGTTTCTGAGAAAGCCTCTCTTGAATACACTGTCGCACGTACTCTCATAAGCCTCCCGCAAGTCTCCTCAGTTACGCTCTCCTTCCTCTCTCACGCGCCTTCCGCGCAAGTCACATTCGCGTTATTCTCGTTTCACCCATGCCTCCCACAGTCGCCACCGCATCATGCGCCTCTAACGCTCTTGCCCCGTCTCCGCTCTTATTTTCCGCTCCCTTCCTTTTCCGCCCCCGCGTCGCCCCGCCAGGTGCCTCGGTGGATCGCGTCGTATTCAGCCGCGCCTGCTACAGTACCCGTTATTCCCGCCGCAATCGTCGCCGCCAATCCGTTCCCCTTCCTTCCCGCTGCGCTCAAGCCGCTCCCGTTCTCCGCGCTACCCGCCGCCGCCACCGCCACGGCAGCCGCGACTACGCTGGCGCCCCTCACGACCTCCCTTCCGCTTTCTCCTCCGTCTTCCGCCCACCTTCCGCCTTCCGCCCCCCTTCCGCCTCCGCCGTTCTCGAATCTCCCCTCATCCGCGTCCGCCTATACGTTTCTCCGCCCGCGCGCAACTTACGCCGTCGAGCGTGCCGTTCCCGATGCCAACAACCCTTTTTCACCCTTCCCCGTCCCCGCGCAACATCCAGGAAGCTTCATCTGCCATCCGCCGTTCTTCCCGGGATATCCCCCTCCGTTTCCGCCGACCCTTCTTGCCGCCGCATCCGCGGATGCCGCCGCCACTGCCACCGCCGCCGCCACCGCCGCCGCTCTTCCATCATTTGCGGATGCGTCCCCATTGGTTGTGAGGCCACGGCCTCGCAACGCGACAGTCTCCGCGCTGCCGCGAGTAACATCCGGCGAATCAGAACCCGGTCGCATGATGTCCGACGACAATGCCGCACTCCACGGCGCGAATCCCGCCGCATTCGACGACGCAGGTCCCGTGGAGGTTGCCGCTGCTGCCGCCGGCGCCGAGCTGGGCGCGCACGAGCTCTCCGCGATTCGCGCGGTGATGATGCGACACGAAGCCGCGTTTCGCGCGCAAGTTGCGGATCTGCACGCGATTTGCGCCGTACAACGCGGGCTCATGACGGCGACAATGACTCACCCCTCCGACGAAGCACCGGGTAGCGCGGCGGCAGACGCGGCTTGTAAAGAGGCACCGAGGGGCGAGAGGAAAACTGCAGCGACCGTTGGGAGAGGGGATGCAGGGAACGGTGATTTGCGGGGAGACTCGGTAGGCGGGGAGGCGAGCGCGCATCATATGGCGGAACAGGATAGCCGTCGGCGGAAAGCGGCAAACCGCGCGGGTGCGCTTCTTTTCGATTTGGAGCAGCTTCCTGGAAATGACGAGGGGGAGGAGGCCGACGAGGGGGAGGAGGACGGCGGAGGAGGGGGAGAACGGGAACTCATGCGCTCGAGACGCACGCGCTTCGTCGATCGCGTCGCCTACGCCGCTACTAACTCCTGCGCCTGCGTCGCGGACGCCGCCGTCTTCCGCCGCTCCCACGTCTCCGCGCGCGCCCTCCGGCGTCGGAGCTCTGCCGCTGCCAGTCCGCGCGCCAGCTGCAGCAGCGGCGGGCGCAACATTCTCCGCGGACTCAAGCGCGGGCAGTCACGCCGGGCGCTGCCGCGGGGGAAGGCGGAAGCGACAAACCCCGTGTGATAACAACGCGGCCAATGCGCGGAAAGATGTGGCGCCTGCGGAGAGCGACGCCACGTCAGCATCAGGCGCGTTGGACACGCAAGGCAACAGCACACCACGTCAGCGCGGTGAAAAGAAGCAGAAGCGAGAAGGCGGAGGGGGAAGCGGAAGAGGCGGAGGGAAAAGCAGAGGAGGAGCCGGGGGAGGGGGAGGTAGTATCTTGACAGGTCGATCTGCCGGTCCTCCTTCCCCCCAAATCTCCCACTCACATAACACCTCCCCCAGTGTCGCCTCTCCTCGTTACCCTTCCATGGCCTCCCGCTTGCCTGCTCTGCCAGCATCTGCTGCTACAGCCGGGCCTCCGTCTGGCAACAACCGCGCTACAGCCGCAGGAGGTCCTACTGAAGCCCAGCCATCGCAGCAACCACAGCCGTCCCAGCAGCAATTTCACCCGCCTGGGCTGCCGGGGTCACTCCTCAACCCCCACTCTCCCCTCGCTCCCCCCGCGACCTCCTCCCTTTCCCCGTCCGCCCTCCCCTTCCACCCGTCATTCCCCTTCCCCTCTGCCTTTGCGCCTCCGTTCCCTCCTCCCACACCCCCTTCCATTTCCTCGTGCCTCGCCTCCCCATCCGCCCCACCACCCCTCTGGTCATACCCACCTGTGGCACCAGCACCCGCAGCAGCAGCGCCAGCAGCAGACCCGGCATCAGCAGCAGCAGTGGCGGCATCACCGGCAGCGGCAGCGGCGGCAGCAGCAGCAGCAGCAGCAGCGAACGCCAACAGTCTCTTTCCTGGCGGTTCTGCCTTCCTCGGCTGTGCTTCCCATACCGCTGCTGCTATGGCTGCTGGCACAGCTGCAGCAATGGCGGCCGGCACAGCTGCTGCTGCTGCTGCTGGAGGGGCGTTTGTCCCTGGCATGGCGTCGCCGCTGTATGCCTCGCCCGTGCCTTCCACTTATGGCATGCATTCCATTTCTGGCATGCCTGCACTTCCTGGGATGCCTGCTTTCCCCGGCGGTCCTGCTTCCGGAATGTTTGCCATTCCGGGCATGAATCCTTATTCAGGAATGCATTCTTTTTCAGGCATGTCGTCTTTTTCAGGAATGGCTTCCAGTTCCGGAACGCCTTCCTTCTCGGGAATGCCGTATACCTCAGGAGCGCCAGGCGCAGGCTACCTCCCTCCACCCATGCTCGCCTCTTTCCCACCGCCCCAACCTGCACCGTACCGCCTCCCACTCCCCATCCCCACTCTCAACCCATCTGCCACGATGCTGCAACCAGCAGGCCCAGCCGGGGGAGGAGGGGCGGGGGGGAGACGGGCTGGGGGGGGCGCAGGAGCACATGGGGATGTTCATGCGGGGTTCAAAAAGCCGCCTCCCCTGGTGCTGGTGCGTGATGGCAGCAGCAAGCAGCAGCGCTTGCTGCCTCCTGATCAAGCAGCCAAGGTGCACCCAGGTTGCGCTCACGAGCAGACGCCAGGCAGGCGGCAGAAGCAGCAGCAGCTGCAGGGGCAAGGCCCCGTGGCGGGCCCTCGTGGAGGAGATGGTGCGGCAGCAGGTGCTGCTGGCGCTTCTTCTGCAGCCAGTAGGCAGAAACATCATCAGCATCAGCAGCAGCAGCAGGGGGGTGTGTCTGCTCCAGTGCACAAACACGCGGGGGCTTCTAGAGATGAGGGGAATGGGGTGGAGCAGGTGGGTGGTGATGGTGGTGATGGCATGGAAGGGAGGAGTGGAGGGAGTGGAGGTAGTGGAGGTAGTGCGAGTGTGGAGAATGGGGAGTCGGGAGATGAGGGAGAGGCGGTTGTGGATCCTGTCGGGCTCCCAGAAGCAGCTGGTTGTCTGGGTTGAAGGTGTCAGAAGTTCGGCAGCAGCATCTGTGTCTTCTGCTTGGACAGAAGCTGTTCTCCAAATTCTATGATTTGAGTTGATCAACCTGTGTACATAATTTGTGTTGCCTTTCCGTATTAAACCGTATTCGTTTTTTACGAGGGAGCATGATATTGTATCTTTCATGGTACCCTTGCATATACTATTATTTGCTTTCTCTGTTTCTAAAGTTCTTCAACCACTTCGAAATCACTTGAACCTGGAGGCGAAACGGAACTCGTGAAAACGGACCTTATCGCCAGACGTAGCCCTGCCACGTGCACCAGTAACTTTCCTCGCTTTTCCCTCTTTCCTCCCTCCAAATTTCCTGTGATCACTTCGAGCGGCCACGTGGATAAACAGGCCCCCACCCCAGGAGGAGGCGAGGGAAAATCATACCTCGATAGAAGAACGCAAACCTTGAAAACTTGGATGCTGCTTTTGTGGCTGCAGACTTCGCTGATCGCATACGGTGCAGTTCGGTTCGCTGCTTATTTGCAAGGTACAGAAGTTGGACACTGCGGCGAATCTTGTGACATTCCTGAGACCCAATCCGCTCAACCCCCGATTCTCTCCACCACCCCGCCAGTACTCGACTCCACCACCACACAACTTCCCTTGCCTTTCCCTCGTGCAAAACTAGGTGCTGTTCGCCAGCACCAATATAACTGAAATCGAAGGGATACGGACGGGATCAGGAAGGTGGGTCTCGCCTTCCTGATCCCGTCAGTTAGAGTTCGTTAACCTCCGTCAGCTTGGTCAGCCCGTGAAAAATGTGCCGAGCCTCACCAACCGTCCAAACCAATTAACAAAGTGGGCGTCTGGCGAACGCCCACTTTTGTACACCGATTTTTACGTTTCGACGGCATATGGAAGCGGGGACGAAACTTCCTCCCCAGGCAAAACACCATCCCCTTGCAATGCCATCGTCATGCTGCGTTTTTCGAAGCACAGCGGTGGCACAGCGGTGGCACCGCGGACGCATTGCTGTGCAGGGGAACCCTCGAACAAGCCTTCATTTTGACACAGGGGGGTTCGTATACCCCCCATTTTTCCATCCGTGCGCGGGGTGGGGGGAGTTGTGTTTGAGCGGGGTGCGTTTTATTTGCGTTTTTTACCCACGTTGAGCATTTTTTGGTCAGCGGGCACCAGGTGGGTCAGTGATGTGCAAATTTCGCGCCATTGGGGGGAAGGTGGGGATGGACCTTCCCGACGCGGTTGCGAAATTTCGCCTTTTGGGCGCGCGTAGTTTCTCGGGCGGCATTTCGCCCAAACCTCGGAGGAGGGTTCCACCCCCGTTTCCATATGCGGTCACGACGCTGATGCCGTCGTTTTCAATTTAAAAAACGATGTGCTGGCGAACAGCACCCTAATGTTGGGACGAAAGTGAGTCATTTTTCGAGCCTGTTGCCTAATTCCTGACAGGCGTGCCCAGCACATACCTGCTCGCTCCACCGCCTGTTTCAGCTCGTTCAAATAAGACCCAACAAGGAACTGAATCCTGCCTACCATGGCCATGGCGCAGCGGTCGCTACAGTCGCTGGAGTTCAGCCAGCTCAGACGCGTCGACGGGCTGCCGTCGGGCCTCAGAACGCCCAGCGCGAGCGGAAATGGCGTCGTGTCGCTGCTGCCCGGGTCGCAGCAGAAGCAAGTGCGCGTGAAGGGCAAGGCGCGGGTGAACAATGGCGGCTTCGCGTGCCGCGCCTCGGGTGGAGTTGTTGAGCTCGAGCCCGCATCGCCCGGCAGTCCGATTCTCGGTGCGTGCAGCGCATATGCCTACCAAACCACAATCGTCTCTCTTTCTTTTTCTCGCGGAACCAGACGCAGGCTTTTTCGCTTGTGACTGGTTCATGGTGTGGTTAGTCTGTGGGCGGCACGGCTTGTTCTCATTCTAGTGCTTGCCACGTTCGACCAACCTGGTGACGGATTAGGGAGTATATGACGTCTGGCATCAAGATTATGTGGGGTTAGATTCGCGTGAGTTACGGGGCTCATCCGTCGCAATTTAACGTCTCGCGAAAGTTGAAGACTTACTCTGACTTGGGCAATGGAGCTCGACTGCATTGCATTGTGACACATGCTAATCTCGACTTGTTAACAATCGACATGTGACCAACTCCGCATGCGTATTACTGGTAGTCAAACATTTGAAATACTCCTGGCTGACTCTGTGAGCAGTGCCTCGGCTCCGTGAGCAGTGCCTCGGCTCCGTGAGCAGTGCCTCGGCTCCGTGAGCAGTGCCTCCGTGTCCAATTTGTAAGGACAGTTCCTCCGCATGCATATTACTGGTAATGAACCCATCGAAAATCCTCCCCTGGCTAACTTCGTGAGCAGTGCCTCGGCTACAGTACGCGGACTCGGTGTCGAAGACGATTCGGCGCAAGACGCGCACGGTGATGGTGGGCAACGTGGCGGTCGGCAGCGACCACCCCATCCGCGTGCAGACCATGACCACGTCTGACACCAAGAACGTGCAGGCCACTGTCGAGGAGGTGAGTCACGCCGGCAGTTTGTTCGTATCGTATTGCCTTGTATCGCGTATGATTAGGATTCTAGAAGTGGGCAGCGACCAACCCATCCGCGTGCTGGTCGTTGTCGAGTACGCGTGTTGCGCCGCTGTTGTTCATGCTAATTCGCCTTGTGACGCGTTCGAGGTGGGCAGCGATCGCGTATCCACGAGCGGGTGACTGTTGATAGCTGTGACGGCCAGCAGCACTATGCGCGCCGGAATGGCAAACTGAAGCTATTCAACAGCGGTCAGTCGCAACTTGCGTCGACTTATAAGTCAGCTGGTGATGGCTGTGACGGCCAGAAATATGTTCAGTTGGCCTGAATGGCCAACTGAATCTGTTCAGCAGCAGACAGTCACAACCATTGTCACTTGCGTCGGGACTTGTTTCATGGTTTGCTCACTTGTTTCATTCTTCGTTAATAATCGAAGAAATGTTTTGTGATACTGTAATACCAGTGTTGTTGAACTCGAACTTAACGTTCTCTCCGCGTCACTCCCTGCATCCTCCGATTTTCCTGCAATCCCCCTCCCCCCCCATCCCCCCTCCCTTTCCCCCCCCCCCCCCCCCCCCCCCCCCCTTCCCCCCGTCTCCCTCCCCTTTCCCCTTCCCAACCCCCGCGCCCATCTCCCGCGTCTTCTCGTGCGACTAGGTGATGCGCATCGCAGATCGCGGCGCGGAGATCTGCCGCATCACGGTGCAGGGGCGAAAGGAGGCGGACGCGTGCGAGCAGATCAAGAACAAGCTCGTGCAGGCCAAGTGAGTGCGGTGCAGTGCAGTGCAGGCCAAGTGAGTGCGGCGCAGGCCAAGTGAGTGCGGTGCAGGCCAAAGTGAGCGCGGGCGGATCGGTTGGCGGCGAATAGAACCTGAGGCATTGATATGAAAGGTCTTGTAGGGCGTTTGGGGGAGGATGGTTTGTGACGGAAACGGGTGTTGGGCGAAAGTTTGACTTGTTAGAGACAACCCTTCCACGCACCTGCCCTCATCTTCCCTCCCCTGCATACCTGGCGATCCTCTATCTCCCCGTGCGCCCATCCCATCCACCAACAACCCAATTTGTTCGCACCAGTTACCACATTCGCTGTTCGCCATCCATCCAACCCCTTTTCCTCGCACATTCGTTCTTTGACCTTCAAATATCATCCTGCTCTAACGCTGTCCTCACCTCACCCTCCTTACCCCCTCCTCGCGCCACCTCCCTCTTCCTTCCCCCACCTCACACCCCTTTCCCCCCTTTCCCCGTACCCACTCCCCCGCAGCTACAACATCCCGCTGGTGGCGGACATCCACTTTGCGCCCACCATTGCACTGCGCGTGGCGGACTATTTCGACAAGATCCGCATCAACCCCGGCAACTACGGTAACCCGCCCCCTCCCCCTTGCCCCTGCCCTTGCCCCTGCCCCTGCCCCTGCCCCTGCGCCTGTCTCTGTCCTTGGGCCCTGTTCCCGCCCCTGCCGCGCCCCTGCCCCCCCCCTGCCCCGCCCCTGCCGCGCCCCTGCCCCGCCCCTGCCCCGCCCCTGCCCTGCCCCTGCCCCTGCCCCTGCCCCTGCCCCCGCCCTTTCTACTTCCGATGCCACTGCCTTACTTCGCTGTAGCTCCTTTCTGTATCACACAGTCGCTCGCATTCCTTATTGACACGCTCACTCCCGTGCCTTACTGTCACGCTCTGCGCTTGCCTGTGCCCCGCGCTGCAGCGGACACGCGCGCGGTGTTCAAGACGGTGGAGTACACGGACGAGAGCTACCAGCAGGAGCTGGAACACATCGACGAGGTGAGGCTGAGGGCTCTATGAGAAGACACATGAGTTGAGAGTGGTGGTGAGGGATTAGAGCAGAGCAGTGTTCAAGACGGTGGAGTACACGGACGAGAGCTACCAGCAGGAGCTGGAACACATCGACGAGGTGAGGCGCGCAGAGGCAGAGACAGGGAATGAGTTGACGGTATAGCGAGACGGACAAGAGAGCCAGGTTTAGGCCAGATTTCCTCCTGGGTTCACCCAAAAGCTAAAAAAAAAATGGTGCAGAGTGAGGTGGCCAGAGCATATGTAGTGTGCGGAGCAGGAAGTGAGACAGAGAGAGGGAGTAAACCAGGTTTGAGTCGACCCACAACGCATATGTAATGTGACGGGCGGAGTACATCATCTTGAGAGGCTGGAATTCCCCACCCAGGACCTAGATGAGGTGGGGCATATCGCCCAGCTAAAGCAGGTCTAGGAAGTGCGGCAGGGGTTGAAGAGTCGAGACAACGTGCACAGCAGGAGCACGTGGAGGATAGGGGAGGGACGAGCGAATACGTGTGACGGAGACAGAGGAGTGGGGATGGGTAGGAGGAGGTGCGAGCAGGACTATGGGCGGGTGGAGTGCACGGGTGGGAAGGTGGTACGAGCAGGAGGGGAAGTGCACTTGAGGCGGTGTGAGGTGGTGGAGGTGCGTATAAGGAGCTGTGAGGTGTTGGAGGTGCGTATAAGGAGCTGTGAGGTGTTGGAGGTGCGTATAAGGAGCTGTGAGGTGTTGGAGGTGCGTATAAGGAGCTGTGAGGTGTTGGAGGTGCGTATAAGGAGCTGTGAGGTGTTGGAGGTGCGTATAAGGAGCTGTGAGGTGTTGGAGGTGCGTATAAGGAGCTGTGAGGTGTTGGAGGTGCGTATAAGGAGCTGTGAGGTGTTGGAGGTGCGTATAAGGAGCTGTGAGGTGTTGGAGGTGCGTATAAGGAGCTGTGAGGTGTTGGAGGTGCGTATAAGGAGCTGTGAGGTGTTGGAGGTGCGTATAAGGAGCTGTGAGGTGTTGGAGGTGCGTATAAGGAGCTTTGAGGTGTTGGAGGTGCGTATAAGGAGCTGTGAGGTGTTGGAGGTGCGTATAAGGAGCTGTGAGGTGTTGGAGGTGCGTATAAGGAGCTGTGAGGTGTTGGAGGTGCGTATAAGGAGCTGTGAGGTGTTGGAGGTGCGTATAAGGAGCTGTGAGGTGTTGGAGGTGCGTATAAGGAGCTGTGAGGTGTTGGAGGTGCGTATAAGGAGCTTTGAGGTGTTGGAGGTGCGTATAAGGAGCTGTGAGGTGTTGGAGGTGCGTATAAGGAGCTGTGAGGTGTTGGAGGTGCGTATAAGGAGCTGTGAGGTGTTGGAGGTGCGTATAAGGAGCTGTGAGGTGTTGGAGGTGCGTATAAGGAGCTGGAAAAGATCATGGGAGGAAAGGAAAGAGACTTGTGTGGGTGAAAGTTTAACACCAGAGGGGGAAAAGTGCATCACACATGGTCTCATGCATGTTTCACTGCCTCGTGTGTGTTTGGCTATGTGCGTCCTTGTCCATTCATCTTCCATTACTCACACACTCGCATCACCTCGCTCCCTTGTGTGAAGGTGTTTTGGAAGCTAGTGCTCAAGTGCAAGCAGCTGGGACACTGCTCACACGAATACCTGGCGTCTCATACACTGCTCACACGAATACCTGGCGTCTCATACACTGCTCACACGAATACCTGGCGTCTCATACACTGTTCACACGAATACCTGGCGTCTCATACACTGCTCACACGAATACCTGGCGTCTCATACACTGCTCACACGAATATCTGGCGTCCCATACACTGCTCACACGAATACCTGGCGTCTCATACACTGCCCACACGAATACCTGGCGTCTCATACACTGCTCACACGAATACCTGGCGTCTCATACACTGCTCACGCGAATACCTGGCGTCTCATACACTGCTCACACGAATATCTGGCGTCTCATACACTGCTCACACGAATACCTGGCGTCTCATACACTGCTCACACGAATACCTGGCGTCTCATACACTGCTCACACGAATACCTGGCGTCTCATACACTTCTCACACGAATACCTGGCGTCTCATACACTGCTCACACGAATACCTGCCGTCTCATACACTGCTCACACGAATACCTGGCGTCTCATACACTGCTCACACGAATACCTGGCGTCTCATACACTGCTCACACGAATACCTGCCGTCTCATACACTGCTCACACGAATACCTGGCGTCTCATACACTGCTCACACGAATACCTGGCGTCTCATACACTGCTCATCTGTTCATCTGCCATCCCCCCAACAGGTGTTACCTGGTGCTCAAGCGCAAGCAGCGGGGATGGTGCTGCGTGCATTCACATGCACTGCTCATCTGCGCATCTGCTCTATCTATTCATCTCTCCATTTGTTCATCCGCCATCACTCTCTCACAGGTGTTTTCAAAGCTAGTGCTCAAGTGCAAGCAGCTGGGGCGGGCCATGCGCATCGGAACCAACCACGGCAGTCTCTCTGACCGCATCATGAGCTACTATGGCGACTCGCCACGTGGCATGGTGAGTCAGCACTTGTGGAATGGCGAGTCAGCAGCACTCGTGGAATGGCGAGTCAGCACTTGTGGGATGGTTTTGCCTGTCTGCGTGGGTCCTTGGCTGATTGAAAAGAAAGGGCAGGCCAGCATTCATACTGCATAACCCCAATGTCTCTCCATCCCTCAACCCCACGCCCACCCGCATACACCTCTTTTCAATCACCAAGTGGAAATTGGAATCTTTTCAATCCTCTTTTCAATCCATTACCAAGTGGAATCCGCACTCGAGTTCGTCCGCATCTGACGCAAGCACTGCTACCTCAACTTTGTCTTCTCCGTGAAAACCAACCCAGGAACCCCTCACCACCCTCTTGAACCGCTTTCCACCGCACTCACTGGCCCCCCTTGACACAGGTGGAATCAGCCCTTGAGTTCGCGCGCATCTGTCGCAAGCACGACTACCACAACTTCCTCTTCTCCATGAAGGCCAGCAACCCTGTCGTCATGGTGGCGGCCTACCGCCTGCTGGCGGCGCAGCTGAGGAGTGCGGGCCCGGACTGGAACTACCCTCTGCACCTGGGGGTGACAGAGGCCGGGGAGGGGGAAGATGGGCGCATGAAGTCCGCCATTGGCATTGGCGCGCTGCTGCAGGTGAGGTGCTCGCTGGTGCAGGTGAGGTGCTCGCTGGTGCAGGTGAGGTGCTCGCTGGTGCAGGTGAGGTGCTCGCTGGTGCAGGTGAGGTGCTCGCTGGTGCAGGTGAGGTGCTCGCTGGTGCAGGTGAGGTGCTCGCTGGTGCAGGTGAGGTGCTCGCTGGTGCAGGTGAGGTGCTCGCTGGTGCAGGTGAGGTGCTCGCTGGTGCAGGTGAGCGGGGAATTCGAGAGGGGAGAGGAGGGGGGTGAGAGGAGAAAGGGAGCTGCTCCTGCTGCAGCTGAGTGTGGGGAGGGGAGAGGCGAATGTAGGGCTGGAGGCAGGAGCTCGCCTCCCTTCCCTCCTTCGCCCCTGACATCACTGCGTCTTCCCCCAAGGGCATCACCATCGCAACGCTGCTCACTGACCTTCTTGGGCCCACCCTGTGCTTTCTCGCCCCTCCCCGCCCCGCCCTTCCCCTCCCCATGCCTTCCCTCTCCACACAAGTAACTGGAATCCCCATTCGAGTGCCTGAGCGAACCTCCCCTCTCCCCTCCCCCCTCCCCCGCTCGTTCCCCGCGCCCCTCCCCCCTCCCCCTTTAATCCCATCCCATCAGGACGGCCTTGGTGACACCATCCGAGTGTCGCTCACGGAAGCTCCAGAGGAGGAGATTGAGCCGTGCTCTGCACTCGCTAACTATGGCATGCGCGCTGCCCAGCTCGGCAAGGGCGTGGTGAGTGGGACTTGAATGCCCGTGGTGAGTCTGAACAGGTTGATGAGACGGCGGTTGCATGCGGTGCTTAACTGCAGCGTGAGCACTGGAATTGTCACTATTGCACTGGACTGGACTGGGCACAGCCACACGCACAATCATGAATTGCTGGCTCAAATGCTATCGAGATGTAACATAACAACAGCGAGCTAACCTTCTTTGTTCTTCTGTTACCTGCTTCGGCCATTTTTTTCCCCTCTCCGCCCCTCTCCGCCCTTATCCGCCCTGCACCACAAACAGGAGGACTTTGAGGAGAAGCATCGCAGCTACTTTGAGTTCTCGCGCCGCTCTGGCCAGCTGCCTCTGCAGAAGGAGGTGCGTCGCACTTGAATGCCGTCTTCTCTGCCCTTTCCGCCCTCTCGCTTCAAACGCCATGCGCTCTGCTCTGCCTTTGTCCTCTTGTTCGCATGCCCATGTGCGCTGCTCCGCCCTTGCAGGCCTCTCGTCACATTCGTGCTAACATGTTTTATTACTCCCATCATCAGCATCTCATCCTGCCCCCACCTCTCCTGAGCTTGTGTTCATCGTTCCTTTATCTGCTGCATCTATGCTTCTTTCCCTCCTTCCTTGCTCCTCTTCTTCCCTTTGCTTCTCCCCTCCTCTCCATTCCTCCCCTCCTCCACTCACCAGGGAGACGCCATTGACTTCAGGGGGATGCTTCACCGCGATGGATCTGTTCTCATGTCCGTTGATGCTGGCATGCTCAAGGTGCGATGTGATCATGGCCGTTGAACATATGCTGCCATGCTCAAGGTGCGATGTGATCATGGCCGTTGAACATATGCTGCCATGCTCAAGGTGCGATGTGATCATGGCCGTTGAACATATGCTGCCATGCTCAAGATGCGATCAGTATGCAAAGGTTATGCTTTTCCGAGTCCCCTGGGAACGGAGGTGATCAACAGGGTTGAGGAGGGAGTGCAGTGAGAGGAACATGAGAGGCGAATGGAGAACTTGATATCAGCCTGATTGCTTTGTTTCTCTTCTTGCTCGATGCTCTTTTAAAAGCGTAAAGCTTTTGTTTTATTGTGAATCCTCCTCTTCCTTCCTCCCCTCCTTCAACCCATCAGAACCCCGAGGCGCTCTACCGCGCTCTCGCGTGCAAGGTGGCCGTCGGCATGCCTTTCAAGGTGCACACCCCCCCCCCACCCCCACCTCCGTTCCTCGCTCACTTCCACCACACTCTGCTCGCACTCTTGCTCCTCTTCCCCCCTCTCCCTCTTCCCTCTCTCCTTTCTCCACTCCATTCCATTCCTACTCCCACCCACTCCCGCCCCTCGTTCTTCTGTCAGGCCTCTTTAGTCCTTCCCCACCTCCCCAGCATTCTTGCAAGCATGTCCGCTTCCACTACAAATCTCTATCTTTCTGCCTCCCACATTCGCCTTGTTCGGACATATCCTGTGTGCTCACTTTCCGCTGCCCGCCCTACACCTCTCTCCCCCTCTTCCTCCCCTCCCCCCCACCCTTCCTGTATTTTTCCCCTTTGAACACCAAACTCTCTTGTTCAACACCGCTCCCAGCCCCTGCCCTGTGCGCTTCTCTCCACCACTTCCCCCTCACCTCAGGATATGAGCACATCGAATAGCATTCAACTTTTCCTCCTCATCACTCTCTCCACCCATCTCCACCACTCTCCATCCCTCTCTCTCACCTCAGGATCTGGCCACAGTGGACAGCATTCTCCTCCGCGAGTCCCCAGCCGTTGACGACAAGGAAGCGGTGAGTGGGTGTGGGGATTTGACTCCAGAAGATCAGCGCTGAGTAAAGATGTGATTTTATCAAAGCAGCTGTCAGTGGGAGTCTGGTCTGTTCAAGGAGTGGGTGTTGATAAACTGTTCGAGATTCCGGCCTTAGGGAGTGGCAGTGATGAGAGCCGTTGCAAGTGCGTGTCATATGAGAGCGGTCCAACGGTCCAGCCGCTCTTGCTGTCTGATTGCCTCCCAATATCACTGGGCTCATAGTGGCAGTGACGAGAGGAGTTGCAAGTGTGTGTCGTATGAGAGCAGTCCAGCCAACGCGCTGGCTATTGCCGTGAATGACGTCTGTTAGTCCTTCAGTAGAGTCACCAGCCTTTTGAGTGGCAGTGATGAGAGCCGTTGCTAGTGCGTGTCATATGAGGCCTGCCACTGCTTGTCGGCACACTGCCGCTGCTTTGGCTGGCCACAGTGCCGTGTGTTCTGTGTGCCGCTTGTCGGCAGCACTGCACCCACAGCCGATGATTTCACAGCAGCCTTTCATGACTCCAGTCTGAGCCACTCTGGTTTGGATGAGATGCCATGCTCCCCTGATTGACCCTTCATGGCCTAGTGAATCCAGCCACGTGTGCATTCAACTCCGTGCAGCCCTGCCTCCATGTCATCACCTCCTTCCCTACCCTACCCCTTCTCACTCAAATTTTACCCCTTCCCCATCTCAGCGCCTGGCTCTGGGCGGCTGCAGGAGGTAGGGGTGGGGAGGCTGGAGCTGGTGGAAGCCCTTGCAGCTACCCCACTCATTCCTTACACCCGCTCCCTTCCCTCTCCTCTTTCCTCCCACTCTCTCCCCTTCCCCATCTCAGCGTCTGGCCCTACGTAGGCTGCAGGAGGTGGGCGTGGGCGTGCTGGTGCCCGTGGAGGCCCTCGCAGCGTCGCCACTCCCCAACGCCGTGGCTCTGCTCACGCTGGAGCAGGCGAAGCTGGGCGTGCACAAGCACCTGCCGCAAGGTTGGTGGTGCTGCTAGTGTGCTGTGCTCTGATCTGATTCAGCCACACAAGGTGGGGAATGGCGTGCGCAGGCACCACCTGCCACAAGGTGAGTGGGATGTGTATCAGAAATAGGTCCAACTCACATCCCACTCACCTTGTCGCAGGAGATGGGTCCATGATGACTATACTTGCTGTTTCTCTCTGCCCTCCCATCTCTCCTTTTCCGCTTGTCTCCTCCCTTCCCTCTTCCGTCTCCTCTCTGCCCTCTCACCTGCGCCCTCCCTTTCCCCACATTGTATCCTCTGTCCCAATCCCCTCTCCGTACAGGAGCGGCGCGCTTTGCAGTGAGTGTGCGGGGCGACGAGAGCGAGGAGGACCTCAAGGCGTTGGTGGGGTTGGACGCTGTGATGCTGCTGGCGCACGTGCCCCCGCAGGCAGAGGACAGCACTGTCAGCCGCGTGCACGCCAGCCGCAGGTGAGAGGCTGTGCTGCCCTGCAGCTGACCACCCAAAGGCTGGCATGCTCAGATCAGAGAGTAGAACAGAGAGCACAGAGCACAGAGCAAAGCACGCCTCAGCTGTGTGCTGTGCTGTATGACTAACCACCACACCACGGGCATCTGTTTTGAGGCCGATCCAGCAGTCTGCTTGACTTCAAGCGGCAGCCGTTTCTTCTATACTGGTGCTATGCCATCACTCGTTTTCCTGTCGCTTTCTTCTCATCCAATGCACCTCTGCTTGCCAATACCATCTGCTTCTGTGCGTCCCATCTGTCTCCCTCAGGCTGTTTGAATTCCTGCAGTCCAATAACATCACGACACCTGTCATCCACCACGTCAGCTTCCCCGACGGCACTTCCAAGTACGTTATCTCCACTCTGCCTCCCCACCCTGCCTTCCCTGCCCTCCCCAACCCCCCCAACCTGCCCTCCCATCTTCCCTCCGCAACCTGCCGTCCCCAACCCCCCTCCCGCTAATCTCCTCTCTCCAAATCCCTCTCACCCGCCTTTACAAACCCCTCTCACCCGCCTTTACAAACCCCTCTCCCCCGCCTTCACAAACCCCTCTCCCCCGCCTTTACATCATAAAAATTCTTCACGTCTCACTTGGTCTCTCCCCTCACGCTGTTCCCTCATCTCATCCCTTCGCCCATCCCTCTGACTTGCCATACTCGCAACTAGTACATCCTAGCAGTCTTGCTCGTCTTGCTCTTCCTCCCCCGCGCCCACCACCTGACGTACGCCTGTGCCAGGGACAATCTGGTGCAGCAATCGGGTGCCGAGTGTGCTTTGAGGCAACTCAAAGCACCCCTGCTGACCCTCCCTCCTTGCCTCTCTGTCTGTCTCTCTGTCTGTCTCTCTGTCTGTCTGGCTGTCCCTCCTCCCCACTGCCCCCCGTGCTCGCCTGTGCCAGGGATGATCTGGTGCTGCAGTCGGGTGCCGAGGCCGGTGCTCTGCTCGTGAGTCGCTCACCCTGCCATGCTGCCATGCTGTCCTCCTCACGGCCATGCTGTCACACAGATTGCATCTTCTTCCCTTATCACTCCGTGCATCCCTGTCTGTCCCTCACTCTCCATGTCTCGGCAATCTCGGCAATGACATTGCTGCTGTGCCTTGCACTCTTCTATTTCATCCTCCCACCCACCACCCTCACCCACCACCCTCACCCACCACCCTCACCCGCTCTTCCCTTTATTCCCTTCCTCCCCTTCCCCCCTCTCCCTGTTCCCTCAACTCCTCAATGCCTGGCCCTCCTCACCTCCCTTCCCTCCCCCCTTCTCCCTGTTCCCTCCCACCAGGTAGACGGGCTAGGAGACGGAGTGCTGCTGGAGGCGCCGAGCCACAACATAGGTTTCGTGATTCAATGCTCCTTTCCCTCCCTCTTCCCTCCCCCCACCCCTCCCCTGTCTTCGCCCCTCGCTCTCTGTGCACCAGGTGGATGGGCTGGGAGACGGAGTGCTGCTGGAGGCGCCGAGCCACGACATGGAGTTCCTCCGCAACACGTCCTTTGGCATGCTGCAGGGGTGCCGCATGCGCAACACCAAGACGGTGAGTTGGGTGTATGCAACTCACTGCTTCCCTCACAATATACCCCTTAAATCGCAACACATCCTTGTGCATGCTGCAGGGCTGCCGCATGTGCAATACCAAGACAGTGAGTTGATACTCCTTCCTGCCACGTGCTTGATAGCACCTCCCGAAGTGCTCTCCCCTCAATTCCATCATTGCCTCTTCCCCATTCTTCGCAACTGCATGAGTTGAATCCATCCACTACTTTCCACCTATCCCCTCTCCGCACATCAGGAGTTTGTCTCAAGCTCATCATGCGGCCGCACGCTCTTTGACCTGCAGGAGGTGACTGCCTCCAGTCGTGCTGCCCCCCCTCATCCCTCCCCCGCCCCTCCCACTCCCCTTCAACCCCTGCTTATACCCCTCCCCCCATCCTCAGGAGTTCGTCTCATGCCCATCATGCGGCCGCACGCTGTTCGATCTGCAGGAGGTGACTGCGTCCATCCGCGAGCGCACCTCGCACCTCCCTGGCGTTGCTGTGAGTCCCTCTCTCTCTCCACCCGCCCTCTATGTTTCCAGTTGGGCGCTGCATGCTTTGAAGGCTGTAATTCTTCCTTTCCTGTTTTGGTTGAGTAGCTGTTATTACCTGTAGTTCCCCTCTTTCTCTGCCCGCTGTTTTGATCGGTGTGCGGTCGTCTGCTTGTAACTCCTCCTCACCTCATTGTTGCATTCTCCATCTCCCCTCCTCATGCTCCTCGCCCCTCCATTCTCATTTCCCCGATCCACTCCCACTCCTTCCCCTCACCCTCATCGTCCACAGATCGCCATAATGGGGTGCATTGTGAATGGCCCGGGCGAGATGGCCCATGCTGACTTCCCTCCTCTTTCCCTTGACCTCTTCTCTTCTCCCCAATCCCCAACCTCATCGCCCTCAGATCGCCATAATGGGGTGCATTGTGAACAGCCCTGGTGAGATGGCCCATGCTGACTTCCCTCCTCTTTCCCTTGACCTCTTCTCTTCTCCCCAATCCCCAACCTCATCGCCCTCAGATCGCCATAATGGGGTGCATTGTGAACAGCCCTGGCGAGATGGACCATGCAGACTTCCCTCCTCTTTCCCTTGACCTCTTCTCTTCTCCCCAATCCCCAACCTCATCGCCCTCAGATCGCCATAATGGGGTGCATTGTGAACAGCCCTGGCGAGATGGACCATGCAGACTTCCCTCCTCTTTCCCTTGACCTCTTCTCTTCTCCCCAATCCCCAACCTCATCGCCCTCAGATCGCCATAATGGGGTGCATTGTGAACAGCCCTGGCGAGATGGCCCATGCTGACTTCCCTCCTCTTTCCCTTGACCTCTTCTCTTCTCCCCAATCCCCAACCTCATCGCCCTCAGATCGCCATAATGGGGTGCATTGTGAACAGCCCTGGCGAGATGGACCATGCAGACTTCCCTCCTCTTTCCCTTGACCTCTTCTCTTCTCCCCAATCCCCAACCTCATCGCCCTCAGATCGCCATAATGGGGTGCATTGTGAACAGCCCTGGCGAGATGGACCATGCAGACTTCCCTCCTCTTTCCCTTGACCTCTTCTCTTCTCCCCAATCCCCAACCTCATCGCCCTCAGATCGCCATAATGGGGTGCATTGTGAACAGCCCTGGCGAGATGGCCCATGCTGACTTCCCTCCTCTTTCCCTTGACCTCTTCTCTTCTCCCCAATCCCCAACCTCATCGCCCTCAGATCGCCATCATGGGGTGCATTGTGAACGGCCCCGGTGAGATGGCTGATGCTGACTTTGGCTATGTGGGAGGGGCGCCCGGGAAGATTGACCTCTATGTTGGCAAGGTGGGTGCGCTTTGCTGTGCTGTGCTGTGCTGTGCTGTGCTGTGCTGTGGGTGGGTGGCATGTTGAGTGTTGCCGTGGGCAGCATCTGGGTGGTGTTTTGGCTGGCATGGTGGGCGGCATTGTGGGTGGCATGCTGGCCGACGTTTTGGCTGGCATGGTGAGGAGCATGGTGGGCGGCAAGTCTGCCCTGTACTCTCATCCTGTTCATGTCCAGCCGCCCAGTCTTGGCACTCGTTATAGTCACATCAGGCACCCACCTTGCCAGTGCACAGACTGGTGGGCTTTGTTGGGGAAACATGCCTAGCATCCTTTCCCATTCACAACAACTGCATACCACCGCACACCACCCCACCCCATGCCATTCCACACCATGGCATGTCCTGTCGACAGGCAGTGCCACATCATGCCGTCCGTCCCATGGGTGCAGCTTAGTTCCAAACCATCCATGTCATCCTGAAGCTCACCTGCACCCATGTGTCCTGCTGGTTCTTCAGCATTCTCAAAAACCGGTGTGATAATTCCTAATAACCAGCTTGACGCAGCTGAGTTCCATTCATCTCATTTCCAACTGTCCACACCCATCTGGAGTCGTCCATTCATGTCATCTCTTCCCACCCCTCTCCTTCCTCCTCATTCCACCACGCTCCACCCCACCTCACCCATTCCCCCCTCCCCTAACCCCTACAACAGGAGGTGGTGCAGCGCGGCATCCCCATGGAGGAGGCCACAGACGCCCTGGTGAAGCTCATCAAGGACCACGGCCGCTGGGTGGAGCCCATTGCATTGCACCCCACCTCACCCCCTTTCACCCCATTCCACCCCACTCCACCTTATTTCCACCTCAACAGGAGGTGGTGCAGCGCGGCATCCCCATGGAGGAGGCCACAGACGCCCTGGTGAAGCTCATCAAGGACCACGGCCGCTGGGTGGAGCCGGCGCAGGAGGAGGAGGTGCAGGCCGTTGCCGCCTGAATAAGCGAGTGATGCTTGGTGAGGAGGAGATCGCTAAGGAGGAGACACATGGACATGTGGCCCGTGGCAGCCTGACAAAGCGTTGCCTTGCACGCGTCTTTGACATGCTTGTGGCTTGACAGATTGATGAATGTCTAGGCAAATTCCGCCAGTCATGCAGTTTTTGAGAAGGGAGGGGGAGGGGAGCAGAGCAGCAGGTGGTGGCGGCCGTGCGTTTTGAGAGCAGCCATGAGCTGGAGCTTTCCTAAACATGCAGGAGAGAGCGTTTTAAGAAGGGCTGGGCGGTCGGTGGGTACGGCTGCAGGGGTGCAGAGAGTGCAAGGGAGGGGTGATGTGAGGGCATGCTGCTGTGTGCTGCAAGGAGTTGCAGAGTTGAGGAACACTGGAGATGTGGTAGTGTTTAGAGAGCTATGTGTGCCACGATCTTGTTTTGCCTGTTGCATTATTGTTCATACATCAACAACTACCGTACAACTGTTACCGGGGTACTAAGGAAGCGTCCAGTGAGTTTTTTCAACGAGATTGCATTGTAACCCACCCTGTGACGTTGTGCTGATGGATCAACTATGTTGACAATTTTGTGCTGATGACCTGAAAGCTAGTGAAAAATCAAGACCTCCAAACCGTAGCCATTCTCATCAAGACGGCGCAAAAACTGCATCTGATTTCATATACAGTGAGGTTGTCTTACTGCTAGGTATGCGAGGTACAGCCTTGCTTATTTCTGTGCCTTTGCTTTTACCATATGGGTATAAACACATTAGTATTTTGTAAGTTGAGTCAGCAGCCATGACAAGCTGCCATGCCCACATTCAAGCTTAGATGGACGGAAATGCAAATTAAACTTTTGCAAATGAAAGATGCTGCATTATATATAAGGTGCTTCCTGAAAAGGTTATTGTGGTATATCCACTACCAGTAGACATTGCACAAGGAGTGCAGAGCAGAGGCTATACTAAAGAGTCTCCTGAATATATATACCCAGTGGCCAGTCCATGTAGGGAGAATCTGCGTAGGGTTAATGATGACCTGTTGCAGCAACCTGTGCTGCACAAACCAGAATGCAGTTCTGACACAGCATGCACCACTGGCAGGTAACATTTCAAGCCAAGCCTCACAGTGTAACCACGTAACACAGCACACCAACCGAGAGCAAATATATACTCGGTGGTGTAGATCAGTGTTACTGTAGCCGAGCAGTTCCCACAAGCCCTGCCACTCGGATGCACCGAGGCAGGATGTACAGGCCATGTGGGTTAGCTGCTAGCCACTGTGCTCATGAGGCTTGACTTGGCATCCCCCTGTGTTGCCACGTGGCATGCTGATGCCCATCAGAGAAGTAGAGAGTGTCAAGATGCTAGGCAAGAATGATGTGCATTGAAAAGGAACAAGAGTACAAGTACGTAACCCTAATGGGTTGTACCCTATATTGTCTACCCCACTACAGCCTACCAACACATTACATATAATCTAACACACCCCCATAGGCAAAGTGGGGGAGAACAAGGGGTCACAAGACCAGTCCAGCAAAGCAAAGCAAAGCCCAGGGTGGATCACAACGTCACCACACTCTGAACACAAGCAAAGGCCACAAGGCCAGTTCACATGCAGAGCTATATAGGTATATATAGACCAAGACAAGCAACACAGTGATCACAACCTAGCAAGCAAGCAGCGACATATATAAATCACAGTACAAAGAAAGTCAAGCAGTAAGCAAATGAGGTAATGTGGACACAAGGCCTAACGCAGTACAGTGCCGCTGATGATCACTAGGCGGAAGCGCCTTGGTGAAGACATCAGCAGTGTTGGCCTTCGAGTCCACGTACACAAGACGAAGCTGACCACGCTGCTGCAGCTCTCGAGCAAGAAAGTAGCGAAGAGCAATGTGCTTCGTTCTGTGCTCCAGTCTGTGCTCCTGACACAAGGCAAGGGCCGCCTTGTTGTCTCCGTACAGAACTGGAGGAGAACTAGGCCGCTCTCCCAAGTCAGTCAGCAGGTAGGTGAGCCAGCGTAACTCCTGTGCAGCCATGGCCGTGGCGTAGATCTCAGCCTCACAACCGGAGCTGAGAACAGAAGAAGAGCGGGTGGACCGCCAAGAGACAGAACCAGAGCCAAGGCTGAAAGTGTAACCCTGTGACGACCGCTGCGTAGCCAGGTCGTCCACCCAAGAAGCGTCTGAGTGACCAGTGAGGGCAACTCTGTCGCGTCCTCCAAGCACCAGCCCCATGCCTGATGTACTGCACAAGTAGCGCAGCACCCTCTTAGCAGCCTCCCAGTGCTCTCGCCTGTGTCTCCCAGGCGCAACGTAACGAGCAAGGATGCTAAGAGGGTACGCAAGGTCAGGTCGCGTGCAAGTCATCAAGTACATGAGGCAGCCTACAAGCTCTGGGTACGGGCCACTCGGCTCTACGGACTCGTCCGAAGGTGGAGCTGAGAGCGAGTGACTGGTAGCCAGAGGTGTGGCCTGTGGTGAGGAGAACTGGAAGCCGAAGCGCTGAAGGACCTGCTGCACCATGTGTGACTGAGTCAACGTAATGGTGCGGCGTGCTCTGTCCCGGGTGATCTGCAGGCCAAGGTAGCTGCGCAGCTCACCCAAGTCAGTGCAGGTATGTCTCTTCTGCAGCTCCGACTTCACACGAGCGAGTGCCTCAGTGTCAGCAGTAGCAAAGACCAAGTCGTCGATGTACACGAGGATGTAAAACGGCGGCAGCGACGTGTCTGTGCGCAGGAACAGTGACGGGTCAGCAGTGGAAGGAGCAAACCCAAGGGCCGCAAGTGTAGTCCTCAGTGTGTCGTGCCACTCGCGCGGCGCCTGGCGGAGACCGTAGACTGGCCGCCGGAGGCTCCACTGGGTACCAGGAGGGAACGACCCAGTGAAGCCAGGAGGGCGGCGCAGCCAGATCTCCTCGTCGAGGGTGCCCTGCAAGAAGGTTGTGCTGAAGTCAAGAGAGTGCAGCTCGTAGTCACGCTGAGCAGCAACGTGCAGCAACACCCGAAGAGTGGTCATCTTCGGGGTGGGGGAGAAGGTCTGAAAGAAGTCAACTCCCTCTCGCTGACTGAAACCTCTAGCAACGTAACGAGCCTTGAAGACAGGCGGAGAACCCGGCGGCCGCTTCACCCTGAAAATCCACATGCCATCGACGATGTTCGCCCCTGGAGGGGGAACGTCGTCGACGTAGGTGCCTGTGGACTTCCAGGATGCCATCTCTGCGTCCATGGCTGTCTGCCACTGAGAGGAGTAGGGACCCGAGATCGCCTCTGCGTAAGAGCGCGGAGTGGGGATGTCTAGTGCATCCGGGTCTCCCTCAGGGGCAAGCAACCAGGCCACGAGATGAGGTACAGCAGCTGCAAGAGAGTCAAAGTCCTCCTGCCTGTCCTCAAGGACGTCCGTGCCAAGAGCACACTCACCCCCGACGGACGGAGGACAGACAGACTCAGACTCAGTAACAAGACTGGCAGTGTAGTCGAGACGACAGACAGCAACAAAGTCAACCAGCTCAGCGACCAGGGCAGACGCAGCAGCCGACTCAAAAGACGGGTCAGTGACAGCAGTGGCTAACAGACGCGTGACGGTAGGGTGCTCAGCACGAAAACGGTCAGACGCAGGGTCCGGAACGTGAGGCAAAGAAGACGCAGGAGGAGACGGCAGAGGAACCGACTGTGGTACAGAGGAGGGACGACGGACGACAAGGCGAGAACCTGCAGTAGTCGGCGAACACCGGTGCGAGACGCGGCGAGCGGAACGACCAGAACGAACAGGCGAGACAGGACGCGACGCAGGCTCACGATGCTCAGTAAGACCCCCTGACTACTCAGTGTACGGAGAAGGAGCAGGCAAGGGCGAGCCAGGCAGTAACGGAAGACCAGTAGAAGACGGAAGACTAAGAACCTGGCGAAGGACAGAGTCAGACGGCGGCAGAGACGACGGCGACGGCGGAGCGAAGAACAGGCGCGACTGTACAGTACCGCCAGCACCAGCAGCTCCAGCACCTCCAGCGACACCACCACCCCCAGTGTCAGCTCCTCCAGGACTGTCCCCACTAGCAGCAGCACCCCCAGAACCAGCACCTCCAGTCCCAGGGTCTCCAGTCGCAGCGTCCCCAGCGGTAGCACCCTCAGACACAGCACCACCAGCCCCAGCAGCTCGAGTACCAGCGGTACGAGCACCTCCGGGACCAGCGACGGGAGTACCTCCAGGAGACAACGAACCAGCACCACTCTCAGCTCCAGGGGCGGCAGTAGAGGCACCACCAGCAGTAGAGCCCGGAGCTCCAGGAGGGCGACGCTGACGGCGACCGAACCAGTCGTGCAGCTGCTGGGAGGTGAGAGGAACACGCGAACGAAGGCGGCCAGTCCAGGGCGCAGCCTCCACTGGCGACGCACCCCCAGACTCAGCACCCCCAGACGCAGCACACCCAGACCCCTCAAGCACAGGCTCAGCTCCCTCAGACGGAGCACCGCGACAACGAGCAGAACCAGCTCCTCCAGTACCTCCAGCACCAGTGTCCCCAGCTCCAGTGGCACCAGGCTCAGGACCTCCAGAACAACCAGCTCCGGCAGCCGCAGTACCTCCAGGACTAGCACCCCCAGAACCAGCAGCTGCAGCACCGCCAGAACCTCCAGCACCAGTGTCCCCAGTCTCAGCGCCTCCAGCTCCAGCTGCACCACGCGGAAGGCGAAAGCGCCGGACGTACCACTCACGGAGCTGCCGCTGTGTGAGAGGCTCCCGAAGAGGCGACTCAGCACCCTGAGCACCCCCAGACGCAGCAACTCGAGGCACAGCACCCCCAGGCCCCGCACCCACGGTCCCAGCACCCCCAGGCTCAGCACCCCCAGGCTTTGCACCCCCAGGCTCAGCACCCCCAGGCTCAGCACCCCTAGCAGCACCACCTGCAGCAGCACCTGAGTCACCTGTGACCTCGACAGGCTCAGCGACGGGAGGAGGGTCTACCTGAGAGACACCTGAAGGAGCAGGACCCTGAGGGGGAAGGGGGTCGACCGGAGGGGGACCTGGAGCAAGGAAGAGCGGCGGGGGGGGGAGCGGGGCAGTGCGGTAGGGGAAGAGACGGTAAAAAGGAACCGACTCGTCAAAGGTGACGTCCTGAGAGGCGAAGACCCAGCGCTAGGTGGGGTGGTAAAACTGCCAGCCTGGCGCGTCAGGGACAAAGCCAAGGAAGACACAGGGAAGAGCGCGGGAGGAGAGCTTGTCCGCGGAAGTATCGCGGACAAGGGCACGAGAACCCCACACCCGGAAGCGCGACGCATTGCCGACCTCCCCCGTCCAACGCAGTGTGGGCGAGGTCTCCGGCAAGGAGACACGGGGCCAGAGGTTGAGCTAATGCGCGGCGTACCGGACAGCAAACGGCCACAGAAAATGGGGAGCCGCCGCATGAACCAAGGAGGTACGAGCGACCTCCATGACCAGGCCAATGCGGCGCTCTGCAACCCCATTCTGCTGCGGGGAGTCCGGAAGCGTGAAGGACTGTTCGATGCCCTCCGCCTGACAGAAGGCCCTCAAGAGGTCAGAGGAGAACTCACCACCTCTGTCAGAGTGAAGACGCAGGACAGAAAGCTCTGTCCCGAACCGGCGGCGGAGCTGGAGACGAACTGTGCGGATCCAAGGGATTAGAACAGCAGGGACCTCACCCTTGGTGCGCAAGGGGAAGACCGTGGTGTAACGCGAGTAGTCGTCGACAACCAGCAGAAAGTACCGCTCACCGCCCTGTCCACGGACGCGGGCTGGGCCCCACACGTCCAGGTGGAGGGTCTGCAGAGGAGCCTCGGTCGGGGGAAACGAGGAGGAGTGAGGAGCGGCGCGCTGCCGCCCCTCGACGCAAGGAAGGCAAGGCGGCGCAGGCGAGGCAGGGAGGGGAGGGAGAGACCGGGGAAGACCGGACACAAGGTGACGACGGTGCATGCCACGAAGGCGCGGCAAGGAGGGGTGACCCAGGCGGTGGTGCCAGAGAAGGGTCTGGTGCGACAGGGAGCGACACTCACAGGGGTGGGCTACTAGACCTGACGCAGACACCTGACCAACAGCAGCGACCTGAGGAGACACAGTGGTCAGTGTGTAGAGACTCGACCCCGGCTGACGAGTGAACGTAGCCAGGTGACGGCCAGTCCTGGAGCACGTACAGATCGCCACACGCTGTCCTCCAGGGGTGAAGGTGTCAACCCAGTGATCCTGGATAACAGCGTTGCTCACCAAGTTCGTAGAGAACGAGGGGAGGTGAAAACCTGACAACGAGCCAGACGGAACCGCCGGACAGGGAAGCACAGTGGTAGACCGTGCAAGAACTGGACCCCCGGAGGGGTCAGCCAGGGAGACTGGAACTGGTGCAGGGAGGGGAGTGAGCTCAGTACTGTCACGAAAGAAGCAGCGGGAAGCACCTGAGTCAAGCGTGAAGGTGTGCAAGGCCTCAGCGGGCGCAGTACCGGAGAGCGCAGACTCGCTAGCAGGAGGGGGTGTACCGAAGGGAGTAGCCTCGGAAGGCACAGTACCTGAGAGAGCAGACTCGCTGGTACCTAGGGCAGTGGGCTCTATACCTGGGTCAGGCGGCACACACAAGTAACAGTCCCCCTCAGCACTAACAGTCAATGCATACATGGCAGCAATAATAGCATCATAATCAAGAGCAAAGATATCAACACCAGCCCTCATCAGATCAGCCCAGCGGGGGCGCTCAACCTCCTCGCCCATCTCCTCACGCCAAGCGTCGTCAAGGCGGGAGAAGCAGCGGTACTGGGTGTGGAACCTCCCACACTTCTGCCCCTTGCGTTCACCTGTGCGAATGACATAGGAACAGCGACCACTGCCTCCCGACGTCCCACGCTGAGCAAGCCACTCACGGAGCTGCTGGGTCGTCTGAGGACGCTGCTGCTGCTGCGAGGACTGGCCCGAGCTGGGGCCCACACTCCGACCACCACCACCGCCACTACCGCCGCTCCGACCGCCACCGCCGCCGCCGCCACCGCCACCACTGCCACCACCGCTGCCACCGCCGCCACCGCTGCCACCACTCCCGCCGCCGCCCCCGCCCCCACCGCTGCCTCCACCCCCACCAGCACTCCCGCCACCGCTCCCTCCGGTACCGCCTCCTCCCCCACCTCCCCCACCACCTCCCCCCCCAGTGCCACCACCACCACCCTTGCCCCCCTTGCCCTTGCCGGTGCGGCGCCTCCCACCAGGAGCAGAAGCAGCGCCAGCAGACTCAGCACCAAGGAGGTCAACAGCAGCAGCAGTAGCGTAGGAGGGAGCGAGGGGAGAGGGAGAACACCCCTCAAAGATGGGGGTGCGAGGAGCGCCACGAGCAGCACCTACAGCGACAATGCTCTTCTCGGCTGCTAGCAGCTTCTCCTCTAGGAGGGCGACTGTGAGCTCAGTGGGACAGCGGGCAAGGAAGTAGTCTCGGACTGAGCTGAGGGTGTCAGGGAGACGGGTGACTATGAAATGGAGCGTCCAGTACAGTGGAGGGGGGTTCTTAGCGCAGAACTCGGTGGGAAGGGCGGCACGCAGGCGAGCGTCACTAGTGCGAAGGTGGGTGATGAGATCGGCGACTGTAGCAAAGGTGGACAGCTCAGGGAACAGGTAAGGCAGCATGAGGCGGCTAAGCTCGGCTGTGGCAGGTGAGGAGTAGCGAGCAACGACAGCGTCGTAAAGGGCCTTAGCGGTTTTGCAGTCGCCAAAGTGCTCTAGCTCAGCGAACGGCAGGTGACTGCGGATAGCAAGGCGAGCTGCAGCGTCACGAGTCTGCCACTGGGAACGTACACTAAGCTCGGCTGTGGCAGCAGGAGCAGCGGCAGCACCAGACGCGTAGTCATAGAGGGAGACATTGTCCGTGCTATTGCTCATAAGATACAACTGCAGGTCGTCGAGCCAGGAAGTGAACTGCACGGGACGGCCCTCAGCATCGAAGGAAAGAACGCGAATAGAGGCCATAGCTCAGGCGTGAGGGCACAGCAGAGCAGCGGCAGCAGCAGAGGGGACGCGCTAGAGCGAGGCTAGCAGCCACAGCAGGAGCAAGCGGCGGTGCACGGGCAGGGAGCAGCAGGCGAGGCGGGCAGCGTAGCGGGCAGCGCAGCGGGCAGCGCGGCGGGCAGCGCGGCGGGCAGCGCGGCGGGCAGCGCGGCGTGCAGTTCGACGGGCAGGCAGCGCGGCGGGCGGGCAGCGCAGAGGGCTGCGCGACGGGCGGGCGACTCGGCAGGCAGCGCGACGGGCGGGCAGCGCGGGCGCACGAGGGCGCTAACGAGGGGCGCACGAGGGCGCTAACTAGGGCGACGGGCGGGCAGCCGAGCGGGCAGCACGGCGGGCAGCGCGGCGGACAGCGCGGCGGGCAGCGAGCGTAGCGGGCTGCGCGACGGGCGGGCGACGCGGTAGGCAGCGCGACAGCGGGCAGCGCGGCGAGCGGGCAGCGCGACGGCGGGCAGCGCGGCGGCGGGCAGCGTGACGGGCAGCGCGGCGGGCAGCGCGGCGGGCAGCGCGACGGGCGGGCAGCGCGACGGGCAGCGCTACGGGCAGCGCGGCGGCGCTGCAGGCAGCGCGACGGAGGGCAGCGCGGCGGGCAGCTAGGGCGCACGACGGCGCTAACGAGGGCGCGCGAGGGCGCTAACGAGGGGCGCGTGAGGGCGCTAACGAGGGCGCGCGAGGGCGCTAACGAGGGCGCACGAGGGCGCTAACGAGGGCGCACGAGGGCGCAGCTAGGGCGCAACGAGGGCGCATCGAGGGTAGGGCGCGGGGTAGCGTGGTAACCGCATGCGTGCGACGGTGGGCCCTAAAAAAAAACGGTAGGTCCTAGGGACCTCCTGCTCTGAAACCATGTCAAGATGCTAGGCAAGAATGATGTGCATTGAAAAGGAACAAGAGTACAAGTACCTAACCCTAATGGGTTGTACCCTATATTGTCTACCCCACTACAGCCTACCAACACTACAGCCTATATTGAGTTTTTTCAACGAGATTGCATTGTAACCCACCCTGTGACGTTGTGCTGATGGATCAACTATGTTGACAATTTTGTGCTGAAGACCTGAAAGCTAGTGAAAAATCAAGACCTCCAAACCGTAGCCATTCTCATCAAGACGGCGCAAAAACTGCATCTGATTTCATATACAATGAGGTTGTCTTACTGCTAGGTATGCGAGGTACAGCCTTGCTGATTTCTGTGCCTTTGCTTTTACCATATGGGTATAAACACATTAGTATTTTGTAAGTTGAGTCAGCAGCCATGACAAGCTGCCATGCCCACATTCAAGCTTAGATGGACGGAAATGCAAATTAAACTTTTGCAAATGAAAGATGCTGCATTATATATAAGGTGCTTCTTGAAAAGGTTATTGTGGTATATCCACTACCAGTAGACATTGCACAAGGAGTGCAGAGCAGAGGCTATACTAAAGAGTCTCCTGAATATATATACCCAGTGGCCAGTCCATGTAGGGAGAATCTGCGTAGGGTTAATGATGACCTGTTGCAGCAACCTGTGCTGCACAAACCAGAATGCAGTTCTGACACAGCATGCACCACTGGCAGGTAACATGCCAAGCCAAGCCTCACAGTGTAACCACGTAACACAGCACACCAACCGAGAGCAAATATATACTCGGTGGTGTAGATCAGTGTTACTGTAGCCGAGCAGTTCCCACAAGCCCTGCCACTCGGATGCACCGAGGCAGGATGTACAGGCCATGTGGGTTAGCTGCTAGCCACTGTGCTCATGAGGCTTGACTTGGCATCCCCCTGTGTTGCCACGTGGCATGCTGATGCCCATCAGAGAAGTAGAGAGTGGTGAGAAGAAAGGAGCCAGGCTGTAAGGCAGGAGAGGAGCAGTGATGAGAAAAGGAGTTGGGATGGAAGGGGAGAGGATGTGCAGCGGCATGAGGAGAAGAGCACTCGGAGAGCCGAGGGTGGAGGACTGGAGGGTCAGTTGTGGAGATTGGAAGCACCACTTTTATTGGGAGGTGGCAGGACTGGCGCAGGTGCAGGCGAGAAGGATGACTTGTGAGATGCCTCAAAAAGTCAACGCTTCACACGCGGATGCCGGAAGGGCTGCTTGCAGTGGCAGGTGGAGCTGCAGCCAGCACTATCTGCTGCCGCTGCGTCACTATCAGTGGTGGTGGTGCCACTGCTGCTTCTGCTGCTGCTGCTGCTGCTGTTGCTCCTGGCGCAGAGTAAGACGCAGGTGAGCCGACTGCGGAAGCAGCAGCACCAGCCACAGCAGAACTGCCAGCCGATGTTGCCACAGCAGCAGCAGCAGATGCCACAGCAGGCGCGCCAGCAGCAGCGGGTTTCTTCCCCAGCTGCTGCCTGAGAATCCTCCCACCAAGGCAGTTAAGGAGAATCCACGGGTGAGTCAGAATCTTCCCCACAGGCGGCCGCCGCCGGGGATCCCGCTGTAACAGGCACCGCACCAACCCCTTTGCCTCCTCCGACACCCCTCTCCACTCCTCCCCGCCCATGTCCACCGCGCCGCGCAGCACCTTCATAAAGACGTCCTTGTCCGTGGGGCCCCAGAAGGGCGGCGCGCCGCAGAGGAGAATATAGAGGATGACGCCCAGAGACCACAGGTCGGCTTCGAGGGAATAGTCGCCGCGGAGGACTTCGGGCGCGATGTAGAAAGGCGATCCGGCGACGCCGCGCGCGCGCTCGCCTTGCTTGAGCGGAATCGCGAGCCCGAAATCTGCCAGCTTCGCGACGACGACGCGCGGGCAAGCACCGGCTGCCGCCGCGGCGGCGGCGGAAGCGGGATAGCGCGCGAGGAGGATATTTTCGGGTTTGAGGTCGCGATGGAGCACGCCGCGGGAGTGGCAGAAGGCGACAGCCGACACTATCTGGCTAAACACCTGCGCCGCGTCGCGCTCGCTCAGTCGCCCGCGTCGCACGATTTCGTCAAACAGTTCGCCACCGTCGCACAGCTCCATGACCATGTGCACGGCCGCGTCGTCCTCGAACACCGCGCGCAGCTGCACCACCCCCGCGTGCGGATTGTACCCCGCGAGTCCGCCGCCAGCCCCGGCGGCAGACTCGGCGCCAGCTGCGCCGGAAGTTGCGCCGCAAGACGCGCCCGCTGCGAGGCGCTGCATGAGCACGACCTCGCGCCGCACGTCGTGGCGCTCCGACTCGGAGGTGAGCCGACTCTTCAAGATGGTCTTGCACGCGAAGCGCGTCCCGGTCGCCTTCTCGACGCACCTGCGCACCGTCCCGAACTGTCCCGAACCCAGCACTGCCGACTCGAGCGTAAAGTAATCCTCTAGGCGACCCGTGGGCGTGCCGAAAATCTCGGTCGCACGAGTCAAATGGAAAGCCGAGGGGAAGGAGGAGTTGGGGGATGATTGGGAGGAAGAAGGGCGAGGGGAGGAGCAGGAGGAAGGGCGACTGGGAGAGCAGGCGGCGGTTCTAGCGGACTTGGCGGACGGCGAGGCGTCAATGTCAATATCGGCACCCCTGTTGCGCTTCCTCTGCGATTCTAACGACTGCGCACGTCTGTCGCGGTGGTCGCAACCGCACTGCTGCTGCTGCGCCAGAGGGGAAACTCGTGCTCCTGGTGCTGCTGCATTTCCTGGCTGCGCCATTATGTCAGCTTTCTCGTCAAGTGGCCCGTGAAACGCGCTCCTTTCGTACTTAATCTACGTTACCGGGCCGTAGTCACTAGTTATTGAGCTGCGAACGATTGCGCGATTCTCAGAAGCTTGAACGGGATGTCAATTACGCATAAGCTTGAACGCAATGGGTGTGAAAGCTGCTCGCTTTATGCGTCGGCCCCGACACACGCGGTACTTCTGAAGTGCGAGTCACTACCCAAACACGGGCTGGAGTGGAGGTGTTCAGATGTGAAGCTGGACGAACATGTTATGGCGGAAACTAGTCGGCTAGGTAAACGACAGCCCGTCCCCCTTCCAGATGACTTGAGAGCAGGAATATGTTAGCAATGGCGCCATTGCCAGCATTGACTCGGATTTCTAGAACTTCAGAAAATGGACTTGGTTGGATGGACGGAGGGGAGGCACGGTGTGGGGTAGAAGGTGGACTGCGAGGCGGCTTGCGAGTTTGTGTGGGTGATGGGGAAAGGGAGGCGATTTGCGTGACCCAAGTCAGGAATTGAGTCACGATACTTCCTGGTTGTATTTCTCGGGCACTTCCTGCCCCCAAACAACGTGAATGACAGTTATTTAAAGCGACAATTCAGCTCTTAGTGAGCCTCGTGCCTGTGACCTCGAAGTGATGTCACTTCGAGTTAGCTAAAACACTCGACGTGTTTATTTAGGGTGTAATATTGTCCGCCCGTCAATTTCTGCTTTTAGCAGACATGGTCCAACGCAGACGACGACCAGGTCGACGGGCGAGCAAGCCAATGAAGGACGGAGCTGACCTTGCACTCCGAAACCGAGGGCGACTCGATGGAGAAGTCGATGGTTGGGATGTTGTCGAATTGGCCATGACGATGGATGATCGGACGGTCTAAATTTCAGGTGCGACTTTGAGCGTGTTATGTGTGACCGGAAACAGTAAATGGTGGAACTGAGCGCTCTCTAGTGTAGTCCACGACAAGCAAAAACGACGTTTCTGTTGTCATTCGCACACTTTCATCGAAGCTAACCAGCAGGTGCTGGTCAGCTTTCGCAAATCGCCGACATAGGCTCGCTAAAGTTTCCGTCTTCGGGAGAACTGACAAGTCTGACAGTGCTGTTACCCGACTGGCCTGGCTGGTCAGCTATACAGTGACACTCGTCACAGCCTTCGCCAAAAACTAGAACCAGCATGTAGTGAGTCGGCTAGCCTAGGTTGACGGAGTTGTCGGTGACGTAGGGAAGCCTTCGCACACCAGCTGATTGGAAGAACCGACCTTTGTCAACCCCTCACAATTTTCACAACAAAACATTACCGAATATTATTTACGTACACCTTGGCATTGTTCTCTAGGCACTATAATTTTGTCAGCTCCATTGGATCTTGCATTGATAATTAGAGACCTCAAACTTCTTTCGAACCTTGTCTGACCAAGAAATCTGAAAACAAAACCCTGAATATGAGGTTCCAGTTTAATTTTCTCCGTTAAAATACGAAAAAAAACATTCTATGAGATTGACAGCTTTGAAATGCATTACATATTAGTGTAAGTTTTTTTTAGGTCGAGGAGTACTGGTACAGAAGGCAGAGGCCAATATGCCGCAAGGATGTTATTTTAAAGCCGGCGCCTAGAATGGCAAAGGTTCAGAATTACTGAACTTGAAAAGGGTTGTGCGAAGGTTGACGAGAGGAAAATTCGCAAGCGGCAGGTGGCGAAGGACTAATGCTCCAGTTTATCGCAATACACTGTATTGAACAAGCACCAACGACAAAACAAAACTCAACCACTCTCACACAGCACACCACTCAAATTTCGCTCCAAGTCCTTAAGCACTCTCTAAAAGCGTGCGTAAGTAGTACCAGTTGATAGAAAGAACATCAGTTTACGAAACTAAGCATCCAGACTAAGATAGCTAGGTATAACATGTGAGAACATATACGGTGCCGCCAGAATCGTGAAGAATCCGAGGACCGAGGGAGGGAATGTGGCGCGAACGATGCGAGTGTGAAGCACGGAGATGATGAGCGGCACGGGATGAGAAAGTAGAGAGTTGTCGACCTCGTTTCCCACTCCCGTCGCCCTCGCTTCCCCCTCCCGTCGCCCTCGCTTCCCCCTCCCGTCGCCCTCTCTTCCCCCTCCCGTCGCCCTCTCTTCCCCCTCCCGTCGCCCTCTCTTCCCCCTCCCTTCGCCCTCGTTTCCCCCTCCCATCGCGTTCGCTTCCCCCTCCCGTCGCCCTCGCTTCCCCCTCCCGTCGCCCTCGCTTCCCCCTCCCGTCGACCTCGCTTTCCCCCCCCGTCGCCCTTCCATCCCCGTCCCGTCCCCCTCCCATCCCCCTCGCGTCCCCCTCCCCTTGCGCTCCCATCCCCCTCCCATCACCCTCCGATGCCCCTCCCATCGCGCTCTTATCTCCCTCCCCTTGCGCTCCCATCCCCTTCCCATCTCCCTCCCATCCCCCTCCCATCTCCCTCCCATCCCCGTCCCGTCCCCCTCCCATCCCCCTCCCATCCCCCTCCCGTCCCCCTCCCGTCCCCATCCCATCGCCCTCGCTTCCCCTTCCTGTCGCCCTCGCTTCCCCCTCCCATCACCCTCGCTTCCCCCTCCTATCGCCCTCGCTTCCCCCTCCCATCTCCCTCGCTTCCCCCTCCTATCGCCCTCGCTTCCCCCTCCCATCTCCCTCGCTTCCCCCTCCCATCGCGTTCGCTTCCCCCTCCCGTCGCCCTCGCTTCCCCCTCCCATCGCCCTGCTGATTCCTCCCCCCGCCCCACTCTGCTTCCCCTGCTCATTCTCCTCCCCCCGCCCCACTCTGCTTCCCCTGCTCATTCTCCTCCCCCCGCCCCACTCTGCTTCCCCTGTTTCTGGCGATTTCAGCTTCAAGAATCTTGAACTTGATCCCTTGCCATTCTAGACTCGGGCTTTAAAGCGTGCAACGGGGAATATCAAGGGCTCCCCGGGTGCTCGCCTTTTGGGATGTCAGCACTCATCTGGGACCTGTTCCGAAAAACAGTCGAGCAGCTCGGCTAGTAGTAATGTAGTACGGGAACTAGTTTCCATGCATCGCAAACCCCGGCACGTTCAGTTTCCGAAGAGAGGCAGAAACGAGTTTCAGATTTGTGAACGAACGCAGTCATTGCTCCTCTAAACCTTCACGAGACTAAATGCAGATTCTTGGAATGCGACCAGACGAGGAGTTGGGATCGTTGTCCTGGCAAGTTCATTTGAGTAAATTCGTTGGAATGCAGACGGCTTTCCTGCAAGGAGCCGTTGGGAAATTTTCTGGCTTAAAGGGCAGACCAACTCGAGGACACTGGTTGAAGAGCAGAGACCTTGTGACGGTCACGCTCGTCAAGCGCGCTGATCCCAAGCTCTCCACGGTTTCCTTGATCTGTGGAGTCACTTACGTAAGAACTTGCCACGAACCGCCATGCGTCGTTGATGAAGTCGTATGCGGCAAAAAAAATTGACGTTGTGGCCATCTTTCAGGAGCAACATTACGTGTTACGAGTTCACTTTTTCCAACCGATTTGTCGGCCACAAGCTTCTGCCGAGGCTGTACCCTCTAGGGTTGTCGTAGCGTGCTATACCACAGCAGATTCTCCATCACAGGTAAGAAACGTGTACTCGTATGTGACAAGCCTATTCCAGTAAACGCTCAAATCTACCTCAGATGCAGAAGTTTATGATGAGATTCGAGACTGTTGCTGCTGCTCAATCCTTCTCAGCCGCTATTCAGGTTCGTAATTTTTCAAAAAAGCATGAAGTACTCGAGAAGTTTGATTGTGACATGCTACCTTCGTTTTGGTCCTTACAGGGCTTGATGAACGACGAGAAAGAAGCGAAGCTACATAGCTGCGTGACTCAGCCGAGCCAACCTCAGAGTGCAGGTTTGAGTTTTAGCGTATAAGGTCTTTCTGAATGCAGCTGTGCATAAGGTCTCTTTGCTAATTTCACCTTTGTTTCTCATGCAGTTGAAAAGGCGCCTCCACTTTCCATTCAACTTCAGGTAGGCTGGAAATCCAGGCTTTGCTGTTCAACTTGCTAACACCTCCCAATATAATATGTGTTCGCTGCAGGCGTGTATTTTGGATCCCACGTTTCAAGGCAAGTCCTCCACCTATCGAAGTTAACTATTGAATTTCTGTGCTTGCTTTTTGTTCTTTCTTTGGAACATAATCATTATCCTGTTTTCTCAACTGTGCTGTGTTGTTTGCATTTCCATCTCTTCAGAGTTCGTCCATCAAGTGGAGGCTGTTTGGAACCAACTGCAAGAAAACCTGGCGCCTGAGCTGGCAAATCAAGCTTTGCTTGAGCAAGCACCTCAGCAGCCATAACAGCGTGCAGTCGAGAATTCATTTGCAACTATTGCCAGCTTTGCAACGGGTTGCAGTTGTTGGGGTGCTGTGCCGATGCCCAAAGCAAGCTGGTCTTCTGAAGCCGAGTAGTGAACGCTGAGCGCGAATTTGGGCCGTTATGTCTCTGAAATCGAATACCGTACATGAAGGCTGTTTAGTGTCTCCTGTGTGGAGCTTGTGTGGTTATAATGGCATTGATGTGGGCCTCCTAGATTGTGAGTTTAGTGTAGTTGTAATTGTGAACTCTACTATGACGCAGTGAAAGCACTGAAGTAGCCGACTTCTATAGTGAAGTGAGCCGTCTTACAGCGACGTCAATTGGATTGATTGACTGGGGGACTCGTCTCGTCACTGGTCTGTCCCGAATTTCCTAGAAGCTTGAGAGAATGGCTATCATCCAAATCGGAAGTAGCCCCACCGTGACTTGCGCGTTTCATCCGCCAAGAAGCCGCTGCATCGCGACGATTCATTTCGCAGCTTCGGAGCTGCGGTTAACGAGAACCGTGGGGGCGCAGAGGCAGGCGCCTCGGTGTTCTCGGTTGCGATGGCCGGCGAAATCGTTTACGGCGACATTACCAAGTGTGCGAGGCTCGCAAGCGATCATAGTGCGAGCATCGCGCCAGGCGATGCCCGCCAGCCAGCCAGTGATGATCCGCTGCGCTGACGGGGAGAATGGGCGTCCGAGATGCGGCGACTTCAGTGGGACTGTGCGATCCTTATCAGCTCGAGCTGATCAAGGTTCGTCCCGCTGGGTGACGGAGCCCAATTGGGGTCAAATTCGGATAGAAATCATATCACATGTCAGAAGAATTGTCGCGACTGCCTATCCCGCGTTGCTGCCTGATAATGTTCTTTTGTAACAACATTCCAAAGTTACTACATGCACTGCCATGTTGTGACTGTCACCTCCGCCACAAAACTTAACAGGCAATGGCAAGAGAAGGCGAAGTGTCAAGAGCAGGGCCCAGGGAGAAGGAGCAGGAGACACCGCTACAGCCGCTACAGCCGCCGCTACAGCCGCAGATGTGCAGGCAGCAGTGGAGGCGATGCGAGCGCGGGAGATCAAGAAAGAGCTCGAGAGCCTGGGTATGACCGTCTAGGTACGATGAACCTGGTATGTGGTACCCCTGGTAAGGCCTGCACCTCTGTGCGGAAGTAGCAGATTGTTTAGTAGGCAAGTGACTCAGGTCAGGGATCATTCAGCATCCACTCATGCAGCAAGAGGCGCAGAGCACACAGCAGTACAAAACAGCACACATCACACGGCAGCGCAGCACAGCACAGCACAGCACAGCACAGCACAGCACAGCACAGCACAGCACAGCACAGCACTCGATTCTAAACATTATAGACCGAGTTTGGACACTAAAATAATCGTTCGTTGCCATGACACTCTTCAGGCATCAGAACACGGGGGAGTGTTTCACAAGGACCGGCTGGTCTCCTTGCTCTTAGCCCATCGCATGCTTCACACTCCTTACATCACATTCTGTGTCACATTGCTCTCCCTCCCAGGCATTAGCACGTTTGGAGTGTTTTCACCAATTCGTGCACACAAGTTCTTTGTGTGTGTCGTTTCTTGCACCCACATTCCCAGGCATCAGCACACGGGGAGTGTTTGACAAGGACCAGATGGCCTCCTTGCTCGTTGCCCGTCGCATGTGTTCCACTTCTTCACTTCACACTCCTTGCGTCATATTTTGTGTTCCATTCCTCTCTGTACACCCTCTTCAGGTATCAGCACGAGGGGAGTGTTCGACAAGGACCAGCTGGTCTCCTTGCTCGCTGCCCATCGCCTCTCAGCTCCATCCTCTGCTGCTTCGCCACAATCCAGCAGCAGCAGCAGCAGCAGCAGCAGCAGCAGCAGCAGCAGCAGCAGCAGCAGCAGCAGCAGCAGCAGCAGCAGCAGCAGCAGCAGCAGCAGAACCCCAGTAGCCACCCCCTCCCCTTCCCCCTCCCCCTCCCCTCCCTCCTCTTCCTCCCCCTCCGCCCCCTCGTCCGCCTCCCAAGGCGTCATCCTGCGCATGCCCATGCGTCGCCTCGCCACCACCGCCAGAGAGCCGCGTGAATACGTCATTCTCCCCCTAGAAGTTGCCGGGAAGGGCCCCTTTGATTTTCTCCTAGACACCGGCAGCAGCACCACCCTAGTCTCCCCGGGTTTCGCTTATGGCACTATCGGGTTGTCTACTAACGAGGGCAGGATGACTCAGGGGCTGGGAGGCATGGGGCCGGAGGGGAAGCAGGGCCGGGAGCTGCTGCTGCCGGACGTGAGGCTCGGGGAGTTTAGGTTCGGGCCGACGCAAGCAGTGGTGCTGGACCTGCAGTATACGGGCCTGCCTGGTTCGGTGGCGGGGATTATGGGGCTGTCGTTCCTGTCGGCTTTTGACATGGACTTTGACTTTCCCAGCAGCACTCTCACCATCATGCACTCAGGTGTACATCACCTTCCCCCCCCTCCCCCCCCCCTGCATCCGTCAGCAATCCTCCTTTCCTGCTTCATCAATCCCTCATCATCCCTCGCCATTGCCCTCACCCCTTACCATTCCCCCTCTATCCCTCACTCCCCCTCTATCCCTCACTGGCCCATTCCCTCACTCCTTCTATCCCTCACTCCCTGTATCCCTGACTCCCTCCATTCCTCACTCCCTCTATCCCTCACTCCCTCTATCCCTTACCTCATCTATCCCTCACTCCACCTATCCCTCACTCCACCTATCCCTCACTCCCTCTGTCCCTCACTTCCTCCATCCCTCTCTTCCTCTATCCTTCACCCCCCCTACCTCTCACTCCTCCTACCATCTCGCACTCACTCCTCCCAGGTGCAGCACTGGCAGCAGTAGCCTGCAGGTGACTGGACTGCGGAAGTCGCCGTCCTTCCTCATCTCAAATACTGCTCCTGTCTATCCCTCACGCATTCATCTCTTCCCTGTTGTCCCTTGCTCCCAATCCTTCACTCCCTCACTCTCATCCCGCACTTCCTTCCTCTCACTCACTCCTTCCAGGTGCAGCGCTGGCAGCAGCAGGCAAGTGGACGGCAGGAGGCACCATCCCCCCTCCGCCCTCTGCTGCTGCTGCTGCCTCTCAGGGTTTGGATTTCGAGGGGCTAGCCATGCTCGCACCAGCCACTGTTCCCTTCAACCTGCCCGCGGTCCAGGTGAGCTGCCTTTAGAGTGAGTTGAATTTTGGAGTGAGTTGAATTTGGAATGAGTTGAATTTGGAATGAGTTGAATTTTTAATGTGTTAAATTTGTAATGAGTATAAACTGGAATGAGTTGCATTTGGAGTGAGCTGCATTTGAAAGAGCTGGTTGTGTTAGTTTTGAGACGCCCCCAAAATGGTATGTTGCTTGTGAGAGGGCTGGCTGTATCTCACCTCCCATCTCTCACCTCCCATCTCTCACCTCCCATCTCTCACCTCCCATCTCTCACCTCCCATCTCTCACCTCCCATCTCTCACCTCCCATCTCTCACCTCCCCTCTCTCACCCACCACCTCCCACATCGCCCACCCATAAGTGAAATCCTGGGTGTTATCAGCGAACATTTGCGATTCTTGTTTTTCTCATCTCTCTCGCCCCTCCCCTTCCCCACACCCTTCTCGATGAATGCCTGACATCTGGAGACATATGGCCTGGCCTCACCTTCGTCCTTTTCCTTTCTCTCCCTCATCTCTTCTTCCCGTAGCTCCCCATTTCCCTCGCATAACCCTCATCACTTACACAACAATCATCCCCACCCATCGCATCTCTCCTGCAGATCTCGGTGAATGGCAAGCACCTGGAGACGGCGATTCTTGACATGGGGTCGGGACTCAGCCTTATCACCACTGCAGTGGCTTCCCGTGCCGGCATCACCCCTTCCAGCATTGTGAGATGGATGTTAGCAGCACTAGCATGCATGCAACACCTTACACCTACCAGGTTAAACCAACAGCATGTAAGCAGCAGCGTGCCAACACCCACTAGCACCGGAGACACTTGGAGGCAACCATTCTTGACATGGGGCCTGGACTCAGCCTTATCACCACTACAGTTGCTTCTCGGGCTGGGGTCACCCCCTCTAGCATTGTAAGGCTGCTGACTGTTAGCAACCAACCTGGTAAGAACCTTGACTCTCTGTGTTACAGATGTTGGCTGATGAAATATCCGTTCTTGACGCAACCAGTTCCTGGCTAATGTATGAAACGTTATAAACCAGTGATCATTTTTAAAGGAATGGATGAATCACAATGCATGGAAGCTGACACCTAAGTCAGGTGACATGAGAGATTGCCGGTCTTTGAAAATTCATTGTAAATTTCGCATCCTAACTCCACTTCTGCTCCCTTAATGTTCCGCCCCACCCCGTTCGCCTCCCTTGTTCCTTTTCCCCAGGGTGTAGCATCAATGGTGGACGTGGGAGGTGGAACAACACAAATGGGAGGAGCAGTAGCGGATCTGTTCCTTATAACGAAGCAAGGAGGGCCAGCAGGGACGTCGGGCGGCCGTATCCCCTTTACAAGCCACCCCATGATAGTGGGGGACCTGCCAGCCCTGGCAGTGATGGGAGCAGGGGCAGTGATGGGGATGGATGTGCTCAAGAGGACTCGCTGTGTGGTGTGTTTCAAGGATAACAGGGTTCTGCTACAGAAGAAGTATTAGCTGTGCCGTACATGGATTAATGTGAGGCTCAATTGGTGCTATGACTCAAAGTCATATGCGGTAATTACATACGGTATCATAACATAGCATTCCATCCAACAAGAGCTTGTGCTGTACCAAGCAGTAACCTCTATGAGCAAACAATAGGTTGCATTGTGTGCGTGTCTGACTGATTTACGGTACTAGCGAAGTCAAGTCACCATGGTGCAATGCATGTGCCTTGTTCCATTCCATCCAGGCAATGATCTTGAAGCCGGTAGCCCATATTGTTCATCCTTTAAAAAGTTCAGGGGAGGGTGTTTTCCTGGTCTTGGGTTGGGCGAGTGTTTCAGACTTCGTCAAAATCGTTTTGTTCGCCAAACCCGACTAAACCCCTTATTTCCCTCTGGTGAGTAGGGTCACACTTCAGAAGACCCAAATAGCAGGTGGGCTACTTTTCAAAGCTTGCACACTCCGCTTCGTCAAGTTATAAAAGCTTGACCCGCCGGGTCCGCAATTTGGGACACGGGCTTTAAGGGCACCTCCTTGTTCATCCATTTAGACACCCACTCAGTAGTTTTATGGTTTGTTCAAGTTGTTCAAAACAATCTTTAACAAAAATAAACATGGTCATCAACAAACAGGAATTGGACGCACCACCCTCAGACTCTGATTCCCAACAACCTGCTGGCTCAAGCACACTTCTCACACACTAGCCATGCCTCGCCTGCCTTCCCATCCCCTTCCCACCCCTAACATCTGTCCTGCAGCAGCAAATGTACATCAGCGCACAACCATTCTGGGCATCATCGCCAGCACACCCCCTTTCCCCCTCCTCATCTGCTTTACACATATCCACCATTCCCTGCCTCTGTACTTGAGCCTGATGGCATTGATCTCAATCAAATCAGCTTCACAGCAATCCGCCATCCCAGGCACTACCAGCTTCCCTGGCTCTCTACGCCTCCTGCCCCTGCTCAGCTGCTCTTGATGCTGCGCGCATCTTCTCCCTCTGCTCCCGCGTCAGCCTCACAGGCCGCCTGCGCCTGCCGCCCAGCATTCCGCCGCTTTCCCCCGCCACACCCTCCCCCGGAGCCCCCTCCTCGGGCATTTCCGCGGGCAGGGCGACAGACGCGTTGGTGAACGCGCTGAGCACCACGAAGGCCAGAATCGGGGATAGATCCAGGGTTCCACCAATAGGGGGAATTAACCCTCGGAAAATGTTCAGGTAGGGGTCGCAGATGGTGCTGAGGGGGCTGACGATGGCGGATGGGGCGTTGGGGAACCAGGTGAGGAGAATCCTCACGATAAGCACGGTGTTGTACAGGTTAAGGAAGCTGTAGATTCCCTGTGTAACGACCAGCTCCGCTACAGTATCGCCAGGAATCACGGCGGCGAAGGGAGCGTTCGATTGCTTCATGAGCAGGTGAAGGGGTTCCGCGGAGAGGGAGGCGGAAGGGGAACCAAGCAGGGGGAGGCGGAGGCGCTCCCCCAGCAGCATGAGTGCGTAGTACACGTCAGCAAGGTGGTCCAGCGCGGCTTCCGCCACCTCGTGCGCGAATCCCAGCGCGAACTGGCGCGCGAGTGCCACGTGGCGCTCGGTGATTCGCTGGAGGTCGCGGAGCGGGGAAGGGGAGGTGGCGCGGAGCGCGAGCGGTTTGGTGGTTGCGCTCATGCGGAGGAGTGAGTGAGAGAGGGGGGAGAAGGGGAGCGCGGAGGCGGGGAGGACGGTGGAATCCGCGGAGAGGGTGGGCGCGGAGGCGGAGTAGTGCGCGCTGCAGGGGGGGGGGAGCGTGCAGGCGAGGGCGAGGGCCCCTTGAAGGAAGTCGGAGGAGCTGTGAGCGGCCATGGCTCTGATTGGGGGGAAAGGGTATAAAGGGGAATGAATGCGAGGAACGGGATGACTACCGTAGCGAGGGGAGGATACGGGGAAGCGTGGAGAAGAATTGTGACAGGAGAACGTACAGAAGCATGCGTGAGCGACAATTTGGCCTGGCATGGTGATGCAACCGTAATGTAGTCTCATTATGTCAGGCGATGATTCCTACAGCTCTTCATGATCCTTTCATGACATCCTCAATTCCTAGCTTTTACAGAACTGAGCGTTCGACAGATTGACATTTACCCAAGGCCATTACAGGGGAAACAAATTGGCAGCTATAAGCAACTAGTTTTTTTCTTTAAGGCTGTTGAGGTGAGTGACCACGCCAAGGTATCTCCATATACGCAGTCAACGAGCCAAGATGCGACCGACGCGGAATGGATATACCACACAGCTAGTCCCGAGACAGTAACATTGCGCTACAAAATCTTGACATTAGTCCACGAAAACATTCATAAGCATAAGAGAATGAATGCAACTTAGAATGACATTAGTTGGCTCCTCAGCGAGTCAACAACAGAAATTCCTCACCTCGTAGCAGTGACGCGCAGTCAGACCCCGACTCGGATAGACCCTTCACAGAGAATTACGCCTGAGCTATGACTAGCAACTCGAGTCACATGCAGCTCCTCACGGGTATGACTGACCTGATTGAGGGGCAGTGCAGGTCATGCTCGTTCTGACAGGAATGGTTGGGGAGGAAGGGAGGTGAAGGACAATTTTCGGTCAGATTCAGCAGAGCATTGAGGCTAAAGATGTGGACGTCGTAAACTTTCCTGAGTACTTCAAAAAATGGTCGTGGTAGGGAACGTGATTCGAGTTCCAGTAAAGCGTTTACAAGTCGGGTAGGGGTATAATAATAGTTGTGAAACTATCCAACCGAGGGCACACTAGACTTAAAGAGGGAATGGAACTTCGGTGCTATGTTTAACAGGGGATCCTAAGAACGAAATATAAGAGTGCATTCTTTGAATTCGTCCTTCGTACATGGCCTCGTTCATAGCTGACTTGGAGGCATGTGATACGCCCGTGTTTGGAAACAGAATATTGTTTACTTACGTGGACTATCTGCCCGTCATCCTGCCATGCTTGCACCCCTACAAGAACGGATCCTGGCATCAGCGGCTGCGCCTGTTACGTTGTTTTTACGATTCGCCTGAAATGGTATGAAGAAACTTATAGGCAGAATGCAAAAGGCTAGTCTAAGGAAAGATACGCAAGTTAGACCTATAGAGGGGCCTACAGATAGGCCTCTGTGACTCAGTGGTCCTCTTCCAAGTAAGCAAAGTCAGCCGCTGATGAGATAGCTCTACTTACTAGACCACCAAAATTGATCTAAAAGCCAGGGTGTGTCTTCATGAACTCCACTTCCGCAGGTGTGCTCTCCCTTCCCAATGCATCATTCCTATGAGGATACCGACCAAACATGACAATAACGTCTCGGTGCCTGTGGGCATAGTCCAAACCTGCCTTTAAAAACCCCTTCACGGGACCTTCAGGGGCATCTTCAACCATTTGAGTCATCAACTCGATACATCTATCCTGTGCTGCTAAATCTGCGGAAATAGGCACATGAACCAGAGAACGAAAGCCACAGAACGACCCCAGAAGAGGAGGGTAAGCTTCTGAATGCTAACATGCAAAGAGGAATGAGCCGACACATGAAAAAAAGAGAGGCAGTACCTTCAGCGTGCTCAAACGGCAGGTAGAAGAAAGGCTGACCTATCCTGGGCACCTGCCGGTCAAAACCTTTGTCAATGGCCCTGCATGCATGGCACAAGCAGAGTATTAATCAACTTGAAAAGCATGTTTCTGTTTCGTTCCACATCAGCAAATAGGAAGAATGCCCTCTGGTCGGAATGAAACCGAAAATGCATTCTGTGATGGTTGGTTTCAGATGAATCTGCTGGGTGACCTTGTTCAGAATCTCATTCTTCTGAGCATAACAGGCAGGATATGCTGAGGATGCCAAAATATTCTTTACTATAAGTACTTGATGGGTCCACAAAAGAAGTGTAAAAATGAGACTCACCGCTTAGCAACCTCCAAAGCAAGGTGGTCCTGGAGAGCAAAGAACATGGAGTGAAACAAGGAAGTCGTACAGGAGCGATTAAAGGAGAAGAAGAGAATAAGTTTGCTTTCCAACCTTCACATCAACGCGGTAACAGAGAGCGAAGAGCACGAAACGGTAAAACATGACAGTGGTTAGGTAGAAAATAACAAAGAACGAGACATTGGTTGGTGATGGTGCTCAAGAAGCAGAGAAAGTTATGCTATTCCACCAGATGCAGCAGGTGCTGACCCGTGCAATAGACTCTGTGGAGCCCTGAAAGCTGTTCTTCTTGAAGTTGGATGGCTTTTGGAGAGGCTTTCAAAAAACCTCTACGCATGTGAGACAAAATGAGAAGAAGAAAAAAGGCGGTTACCTGTGCGAAAGCCTCTGGCGAGCCTCTGAAGCTGTTCCTCGTGAACTGATCAAGCAGCACCAGCAATGCGAGAGCGCCACGTGGCGTGTCCTCCCAACCCGCCAGCTGGCCTGATGCGGCGAGCGGGATGAGCGGAGCGAATCGCGTGCGAATGAAAGCGTCCACGTCATCACTCTTGCTGAACCACACACTCGCCTTGGCGAGCTCGTCCGATGGCGCAGGAGCCGGGCCCTGCAAGGTTCGCAATGGAACAAGGGCGGCATTTACAAATTCCAACGGTTTGGAGCGGTAATAGCATCATGATAGAAGAGAAGCGAAGGGAGCAGAGGAGACGAAAGGAGATGAGAGGAGCGGAGAGGAGAGGAGAGGGAGGGGGTTTGCACAAGGAGTGGAGCATTGCATGGTGAATGAAGCATGTCAGGATAAATTGAGCATTAACTCTCCAAACCCGTATGGAAAAATCTCCCCCACGCCCTTCCCCCGTAGCACCTAGGAGCAGCCATGCTGTGCGTGTCACGTTCACTTGCCATAATATTTGGAGAATTCTCAAAACTCGCTTACGTCGTATCCAGGCCTCATGAACTCTCCAAACCAGAAGGCAAGAATCTCCCCCACCCCCTCGTCCGCCCCGACCGCACCCGCAGCAGCGCTGCTGCTCCCGCCAGCGTCACCTCCCGCTGTGGCCATAGTTACAATGCCACGTGTCACTCCGCCGTTGCTCTCCTGAATCGGCCACTCTCCTGAACACCGCAGAGTTGACGGCGCGGTTGAATGAGGAGCCGTTTAAACCGCGCACGCACTTGTTTTCTTCGACGTTGACTGGTGGAGACGGCGAATACGGAGCAACAAGAAAAACCGGCAATTTTATTAGGGAATAAACTGCCCTCCTGTCTGGCCTTGTTGCGACAAGAGCGGCGCTAATCCTCGATGCACCGACGCGTGGAATCGCGGCGGAAGTCAAACACGACATACGTCTAGCGAGGGACATGGGAATTGACGCGTGGGATCGCGGCGGAAGTCAAACACGACACACGTCTAGCGAGGGACATGGGAATTGTTGCCGGTTTAGAAAAGCGCAGTGGTGGCTTTTCTTGGGAATGTCGTCAGTGGCTTTTCTGTGTAAGTTTGAACACGGGTGTGAGGGCAATGCCGACCGTCGATCGCATTGCATCATCAACCACTGCACTCTCCCCCCACTGCCGCTGAAGAGAGGAAGCCCGAAGGCAGTTACGGGAGCTCTTGAAAGCAGCCGAAGGAACGAGGTAATTATGGTGCGTCGGCTCCTGTCATCAGCAAGTTCCAGAAGAATGCCTCCCACCCACCCAACAACGGTTAGATAAAATACGAGATTGACAGACATGTACATTTGAGACATACTTTGGCATCTTGTTATTGTATCGAAGATTAGAAAACTGAGACCTTGTCGATTTGCCAATGCCACATCACGATGCCGAGACCTTGTCCCACGTCAACACGCGAAAACCTATCGACGTCGTAAGCCACTCATTACTGTCGCGACATGATTTTCGCCTTTCGTTTGCAGTTTTCAGCAGTTCTTCGCGAGAGGTGAGGATTGGTTGGCAATGGCGAGTTTCCAGGTGCACAACCAGCACCACGAATTTTGCCTTGGGAGTGTGTGGCCATTTCATTCATTCATCCAAATGCTACTGCTGCTTGCTTCTCGCTGCTTGTGAGCACGTTTCAGGTTCTCTCACAGGACAACCGTTGTTTCACAGCTCCGGTGTGACAGAACGCCCCGTTTCCGTCGCAGCGACTTGAATTTTGGATGTCGACTTGCTTTCTGACGACACTGCTTGCGAGCGTGCGTCTATTTCCGTAAAAGCGGGCGCACGTACATTCATTAGGACGCGTTAGGACGGGCACCCTTCATAAGTTTTTACGATTTCTCGATAGCGCTCGCAAGCAGCCGATTCTCTGCGCGCAAGAAGCGGAGTCTGAGCGTCGGTCGATTTCCGCCATGGCTGTCATCGCGCGCTGCGCGATCCGCGCGTCCTCGCCAAACCCGTATTCGTTATCGCAATTCCCAGCATCCAATTCGTCAGCAGCAGCGCAAGTTCGCTCTCCATCCTCGATACAAGCTCTCAGTCAAAATCCGCTATCGACAACACTGGCGAAGCTCACACATAGTAAAGCGATCCATCATCAGCTGTCAGCAGGGAGAATTCCCATCAGGCGGCGGAGAAATCCGGCCTATCCTAGCTCCGATACCTCCCGAAAATCGACCTTGTCCTCTCCTGCTGGTTCGTGTTATGCCATCCTCTCGAGCAGTTGGTTGAGGCTCTAGCTCCCGCTTCGATGCTCCCGTTCGCGCTCCGATGCTCCCGCTCTGATGCCCCGATGTCCTGTGTCTCACTTCGCGTACCCGCATCCACTGCTTTTGATTTCAGACATCCCAGTCTCCATCCCCACACAATTCCTCCTCTCTCCTGCGCTTCTGTCATTCTCAGCAGCGCTCTTCTCCCAGCAAATTGACGATCCAGATTTCAGCCTACTCCCCATCGCACGGCCAGAATTGCACCAGCTGGGCGAGTGCTTCGCTTGCGCCCCGCCCACCAGCCAGCGCCGCCAGCCGCTCAAAGGCATCATCACATTCTTCGGAGGCGCCTTCCTGGGTGCTTCGCCAGACGTCTTCTACAGGTGTGGTCTGGTCTGGCGTTTTTCTGGTCGGGTCGAGTCTAGTTTCGCTGGTCCAGGTCAGTTCGGGTCGAGTCAGCTCGGATCACGTGGGATTGGGTCGAGTCCGGTCAGGTTGTATCAGGTCAGCAGGTTTGGTCGGGTCGGGTCGGGTCGGGTCGGCCTCCCTCCACTCTATGCACCTCGTTTCCTCCATAGCACGCTGTTGTGTGCAGCTTTCCCCGTTCTCCCATTCCTCCGCTCTCCTCCCCTCACACAGCTATCCAGCGCGCTTCTATCTCACGCCTTTCAGGCCCCGTGCCTGCCTCCTCTCTTCCACTCTCTCTACATCCTTCCCTCCTCTCCTTGTTCACTTTTCCTTACAACCGCTCTCTCTCCATTGTCCCATGCCATGCTACTCCATTTGCCCTCCTCTTACTTGCGCCATGTCCGTTCTCCTTCTCTTCTCCCCCCCCGACCCGCAACCGCAGCTACTTTCTGGACCTTCTTGCTAATGGCGGCTATCTGGTGGTGGCTGTGCCTAATCCAATCACATTCGACCACGTGGCTGCAGCTGCCGGCCTGCACGCCCGTGCCACGTCAGCACTCGATCTGCTCCAGCTGCACGGGTTACCCTCTGCAGGGATCTCTGCTGCTGACGTGGACGGTCTGCCACTCTACAGCGTGGGACACAGGTACGGTCAATGCTGGTGAACGTGGGTTGAATGTATAGATATGGTCTCACATGCTCACAGCACAGCACATCACATCACAGCACATCACAGCACAGCACAGCACAGCACAGCACAGCACAGCACAGCACAGCACAGCACAGCACAGCACAGCACAGCACAGCACAGCACAGCACAGCACAGCACAGCACAGCACTGCACGTAGGAGCCAGTTTGTCGAGCGTCATCCCTTCCTTGTCCTTATCATCCCTTCCTTGTCCTTATCATCCCTTCCTTGTCCTTATCATCCCTTCCTTGTCCTTATCATCCCTTCCTTGTCCTTATCATCCCTTCCTTGTCCTTATCATCCCTTCCTTGTCCTTATCATCCCTTCCTTGTCCTTATCATCCCTTCCGTGTCCTTATCATCCCTTCCTTGTCCTTATCATCCCTTCCTTGTCGCTATCATCCCTTCCTTGTCCTTATCATCCCTTCCTTGTCCTTATCATCCCTTCCTTGTCCTTATCATCCCTTCCTTGTCCTTATCATCCCTTCCGTGTCCTTATCATCCCTTCCTTGTCCTTATCATCCCTTCCTTGTCGCTATCATCCCTTCCTTGTCCTTATCATCCCTTCCTTGTCGCTATCATCCCTTCCTTGTCCTTATCATCCCTTCCTTGTCCTTATCATCCCTTCCTTGTCTTTATCATCCCTTCCTTGTCCTTATCATCCCTTCCTTGTCCTTATCATCCCTTCCTTGTCCTTATCATCCCTTCCGTGTCCTTATCATCCCTTCCTTGTCCTTATCATCCCTTCCTTGTCGCTATCATCCCTTCCTTGTCCTTATCATCCCTTCCTTGTCGCTATCATCCCTTCCTTGTCCTTATCATCCCTTCCTTGTCCTTATCATCCCTTCCTTGTCCTTATCATCCCTTCCTTGTCCTTATCATCCCTTCCTTGTCCTTATCATCCCTTCCTTGTCGCTATCATCCCTTCCTTGTCCTTATCATCTCTTCCTTGTCCTTATCATCCCTTCCTTGTCCTTATCATCCCACTCTATCCATTCTGGCCAACGCCCCCTCACCCCTGTCTCTGTGTCGTTCATAGCAACCGTACTTTCACTCTCCTCTCATCACTTTCCTTTCAAAAGTTCTCATCACTCGCTCGTCTCTTTGGACGAGAAAGGGTCTTCTTCTCCTGAAGCTCCCCCCACTACTTCTGTTCCCTGTGTGAAAACACTCCTCTCTTCCGTCTCCCCCCAGTTCTAGCAACAGTGCTCATCACCCTCCTCCGTTTCCCACATCACCCACCCGTCCCAGTCACGCCTTTATATCGCCCAGCTCCGTCATCCCACCCCCCCTCCACCCTATTCAGCAACGGCGCTCTGATGCAGCTGCTCATGGGCAGTCTCGCCACCACCACGAGAGACCGCCTGCCAGAGGTGCGTGCAGGTAGGTGCAGGCAGGTGAAGGGAGGAGAAGGCAGGTGAAGGGAGGAGAAGGCAGGTGAAGGGAGGAGAAGGCAGGTGAAGGGAGGTTAGGGGAGGTGAAGGGAGGTGAAGGGAGGTGAAGGGAGGTGAAGGGAGGTGAAGTGAAGGCAGGTTCAGGCACGTGAAGGCAGGTGAAAGCAGGTGAAGGGAGGTGAAGGGATGTCAAGGCAGGTGAGAGCAGGTGAAGGGAGGTGAAGGTCCGTGTCATGTCATGTGCACGGGGGGGTGGAGGGGGAGGGAGGGAGAAACGTGGTCGCACGCAGTTGGGATGTAAGTTACTCCCATCAGGTCCCACCGCTACCCCATTGCAATGGTAAGCGTGTTCAGGCAAACGAAGACCGGATGCCTGAGGTTTGTGCAAGCAGGTGCTGTTTCGTGCCATGTGCATGGGGTCCGGGAAGGGAGAAAGGGCCGCGCAGTTGGGATGTAAGTTACTCCTATCAGGCTCCAAAGGGGAGTGGCCGCCACCACCGCTAGCTCCCCCTTCCTAGTGGTAAGAGTGGTCAGGCCAACCAAAGACTGGTTCCTAGTGGTCAGGCCAACCACAGACAGGTTGCCTCAGGTGGTTGCACGTGAAGTCTCGTGTCATGTGCATGAGACGGGGAGGAGGGAAATGTGCATGTGATGAAGTGGACCTAGTACCACCTCCACCATCCACTAGGACGGTGGTAGTACGCCTTGCACTCCCTGTGCGTGACGGTGGTAGTACGCCTTGCACTCCCTGTGCGTGACGGTGGTAGTACGCCTTGCACTCCCTGTGCGTGACGGTGGTAGTACGCCTTGCACTCCCTGTGCTTGACGGTGGTAGTACGCCTTGCACTCCCTGTGCGTGACGGTGGTAGTACGCCTTGCACTCCCTGTGCGTGACCGTTGGTGGTTGAAAAGTGACCAACCTATGCGCTCCTGTGTGTCTCTCTCTCCCTCCTGCTCCCTCTCTCCCTCCTGCTCCCTCTCTCCCTCCTTCTCCCTCTCTCCCTCCTCGCCTCTCTCCCCTTCCTACTGTCCTCCCATCCAGGCCAATGTGATCATAGCATTCAACAACCGCCCGGCGTCTTTTGCAGTGCCGTACTTTGACCAGGTGAGGTGAGGTGAGGTGAGGTGAGGTGGCCATTGGCCACGCACATGCCTGCGAGTTTCCTGCCATAAGTCCAACTCCACGAGAACAAATTCTTCCAGCATTCAACAACCGCCAGGCTCCAACCTTGAAGGCGTTTCCTCTCGCAAGCATTTCCCTCAGTTCGCCCCCCTCCCCTCTCCTCATTCCCTCCTATCAATCTCTTATTTTCTCACCCCCCTTCAGATGGGGCCAGCAGTGCAGCAGCTAGCTCCAGCCATCGAAGCTTTTCCGCTCACCGGCATTGCGCTGAGTGTGGCAGGTAAGCGATCAGTCAGTGCATCCCATACCGCCTGCCTCTGATGGGGCCACTGGGCAGAGCAGGAGCTCTTTCATAACTTGCTTTGTCCACCCCCACCACGCGGCCCTCCATTGCACCGCCACCCCGCCACACCCCACCTCACTGTTCCCATCCCACCGTGTACTTCTCTGGAGCCTGTTTGGAGAGCAGGCGTTGGAGGCCCTGCAGCGCAGGTTGCTTCGACACCCCATCCCACCCCTCTTCACCCCATCCCATCCGACCCCTCTTCACCCCATCCCATCCGACCCCTCTTCACCCCATCCCATCCCACCCCTCTTCACCCCATCCCATTCCACCCCTCTTCACCCCATCCCACCCCACCCCTCTTCACCCCATCCCATCCCACCCCTCTTCACCCCATCCCATCCCACCCTGCTCTTCCCCGCTGCCTGTATGCAGAGCAAGCATTGGAGGCTCTGCAGCGCAGCAGCATCCCACTGCGACCCGGGGTGGTGAGGAACGACCTTGACCCGCTCAACTCACCCCACCTCACCTCACCTCACCTCACCTCACCTCACCTCACTATATCCATCCCGCCCCACCCTTCCCTGGTGCCACCTGGAGCGCAGCAGCATATCGCTACCACCTGGAGTGGTGAGGAACGACCTTGACCCGCTCACCTCACCTCACCCCACCTCACCCCACCTCACTGTATCCATCCCACCCTCACTTGGTGCCTGTGTACAGAGCAGGCACTGGAGGCCCTGCAACGCAGCAGCATACCGCTGCCACCTGGAGTGGTGAGGAACGACCTTGACCCTCTCGGGCGCTTCCTTGAACAGATCCCGCCCGTTCTCGGACAGGTGCGGTGCGGTTACCACCTCCACTCACATGCATCACCAATACCTCACACATGTGGTAAAGGTATGGTTGCTACCTCCACTCACATGCATCACCAATACCTCACACATGTGGGAAAGGTATGGTTGCCACCTCCACTCACATGCATCACCAATACCTCACACACTGTGGGAAAGGTATGGTTGCCACCTCCACTCACATGCATCACCAATACCTCACACACTGTGGGAAAGGTATGGTTGCCACCTCCACTCACATGCATCACCAATACCTCACACATGTGGGAAAGGTATGGTTGCCACCTCCACTCACATGCATCACCAATACCTCACACACTGTGGGAAAGGTATGGTTGCCACCTCCACTCACATGCATCACCAATACCTCACACATGTGGGAAAGGTATGGTTACCACCTCCACTCAATCGCATCACCAATAACTCACACATGTGGGAAAGGTATGGTTGCCACCTCCACTCACATGCATCACCAATACCTCACACATGTGGGAAAGGTATGGTTGCCACCTCCACTCACATGCATCACCAATACCTCACTCGCATGGTTTCCACATGGCCAGGCGAAACAGGTGCAGTTAGATGGGACAGGTGCGGCTACCACTCTGCCCACATAAGACATGTGTGGTTACCATAGAATATCTAGGGTTTTCCATACGGCTATATGGACAGATATGAGGTTACCACTTGTGACAGGACCGCATTCAAAAGGTGCTGATGTTGTGACCAGCCAGGCAGAGCGCACTAAGGAGGTAGCAATGTTAGAATACGGTGTTGTCTGTCTGCCTGTCCACCTATCCACCTGTTCATCTGTCCATCTGTCCACCTGTCCATCTGTCCACCTGCCCACATGTCCACACGCCACCAGGTGCGGGACGGGGTGTCGGAGTTCACACCACCACCGGCGGAGACCAGGAAGCTCATCGCCTCCTCCTATGCCGTCCCACGGAACCTTCTGGTGCGTGCCTCGTCCTCCCTCTGGGTTGTCCATGCTCTGTTTCACTAAATTGGTTATTATTATCTAAATGCTTCACATTATTATCTCTTTTTTCCCCCGCCTCCGTCATATGTGGGCGCGCCTCCCATCCTCACTTGTGAATTTACTTCCTCCGCCCTCAACACAACCTTTCCTCCCTCATCTCCTCCCTCTCGCGTCTCCCTCCCCATAGATCAAGTTCTCAGTGAACACCATAGACGAGAAGGACCACCTGGAGCCCATGCTCACTTGTGAATCTTATCCTTCCGCCCGCCCACCCTCGGCACATCTGCTCCCTCCCCACCCGCAGGTAAAGTTCTCAGTGGACACCTTAGATGAGACGGACCACCTGGAGCCCATTCTCACGGGGCGCATGGAGGAGATCGGCGGCTCTCTTTCCACTCTGCTGCTTGAGGGGACTCACGCCACTCCCCTGGCTCCGGTAAGGTTTCTTTATTATTCATCCTGCCTGCCTTTTTTTTTCTGCAATGGTGCTCTGATGGTAGAGGGTATCGCTGTTTTTTTACCATATGTGTTGCTGCTGTGTATGCAGGATGTGTCATGGCCAGTTCAAGATGCTTTCTCACCGGTTGATGCTATTGCCCAAGGAGTGAAGTCGAGTGCTTTGGTGGATATTCGAAAGTTGGCTCAAGAAGTTTCGGCTTGGCTAGATGACCTGTAAACAATCAGTCTTGTGAGATGATAATGATACAGTATATGATTCTATATATGTACAGACGAAAGCGTATTTCACTACGTGATACGGAGAAATATTGCCAATTTACACATACACTTGTGCATGTGCATATGTACAAGTTTACTTATCATAAGCTAAGTTACTTTGTAGAGGTTACAATTTTGGTACATATCGTAAAATTTATGGCGTCCTTCTAGTCTCTGCTACCTTCTTGACATGGTATCAGGTTACGTTATCGTCTCCGCCTCGCCTACCCTAGCCATCCCTAGTTGCGCCCCTTAGAGCGCCCCTAGCGCATCCTATCCTCATGCCCCCCTAGCACGCCCCTAGAGCGCCCCTAGTGCGCCCCTAGCGCACCCCTGGTGCCCGCCCTACCGTGCCCCCTAGCGCGCCCCGTAGCGCACCCCTAGCGTGTCCCTAGCGCACCCCCTAGCGTGTCCCTAGTGCGCCCCCTAGTGCGCCACCTATCGCCCCCCCAGTTATGCCAACCCTCGCCGTCAACGCCAGCCACACCTGCTCGCACCGCCCACGCCAGCCTGCGCTAGTAGCGCCAACCGCGCTAGCCAGTACCAGCAGTGCCAGCCTGCGCCAGCCAGCGCGCCGCCCGTGCCAGCCGCGCACCGCCCGTGCCAGCCGCGCACCGCCCCATGCCAGCCCATGTTCCGCTCGCGCCAGCTCCGCGCCTGCCTGAGTGCCAGCCAACATTGCGACTGCACCTGCTGAGCGCGTGCTTGTGCGACAGCCCCTGCTGCCGCGCCTGCGTCGTTGCTGCCCGCGCTTGCCTGGGCCCGTGCCATTGGTGTGTGTACCTGGCATTCGCCTGCAGCCCGCGTTGATGTGCCCTACTACGCGCCCTACCGCATCACCATCGTGCATCTGCAATTTAGGGTTTCCTGCTACCAGTCTCCTCCTCCTCCTATGGCCATTTCCTCTCACTTGCTGTAGCTGTGCCCCTGCTCCGTGCTGTTACGGCGACTGACTATGTCTTGCATTTCGATGTGGAGGGACGTGCGATCAATTTTGCTGCATGACTGCTCGACGTCAAGCTGTACCTGCGGAGCCAACTTCATATTGACGTCCAATTGCATGCCCACAGTTCGGGTGAGCTATGGCGCAGTTCCTGGTCCCCGAACAGCAGCGTGATGGGAAGCTGATGTCAGAAATAACTGAGCAGGAATGGGATGAACTAGCACAGAGTTTGGTACAAGTAGGAAACCCTAACTTTGAGTACCCCCTAAGGTGTAACCCACTACAGCCTACATAATATAAACATGCAATGTTTGACACACCCCCATAGGCGCAGTGGGAGACAACCACAGGGTCACAAGACCAGTCAAAGCAAAGCAAAGCAAGCTCAGGGTGGATCTCAAGGATTCCACACAAATTCCGAGCACAAGCAAGCGGTCACAAGACCAGTTCACATGCAGGTTTATAACAAAGCAAGAGATACAGTGATCACAACCTAGCAAAAGTAAACAAGTAGGCATATATATATAGTGATCACAGTACAAGCAAGGTCAAGAGGTAAGCAAGTGAGGCCCAGTAGGTACAAGGCCTAGCAGCGTGCAAAAGCGCTGATGGTCACAAGGCTGAAGCGCCTTGGTGAACACATCAGCAGTGTTGGCCTCCGTGGCCACGTAACGCAGACAAAGCTGACCACGCTGCTGCAGCTCTCGAGCAAGGAAGTACCGCAGAGCGATGTGCTTCGTTCTGTGCTCCAGTCTGTGCTCCTCACACAAGGCAATGGCAGCCTTGTTGTCGACGTACAGCACTGGAGGAGAACGAGGTCGCTCTCCCAGGTCGGTCAGCAGGTAGGTCAGCCAGCGTAGCTCCTGAGCAGCCATGGCTGTGGCGTAGATCTCAGCCTCACAACTGGAACTGAGAACAGAAGAAGAGCGAGTAGAACGCCAAGAAACTGAGCCAGAGCCAAGGCTGAAGGTGTAACCCTGGGACGACCGCTGAGTAGCCTGGTCGTCTGCCCAAGAAGCATCTGAGTGCCCTGTGAGAACAACCCGGTCTCGCCCTCCAAGCACAAGCCCCATGCCCGACGTACTGCACAAGTAGCGCAACACCCTCTTAGCAGCATCCATGTGCTCCTTCCGGTGACGGCCAGGAGCGACATAGCGTGCTAGGATGCTAAGAGGGTATGCAAGGTCAGGTCGAGTGCAGGTCATCAGGTACATGAGGCAGCCCACAAGCTCTGGATACGGGCCACTCGGCTCTACGGACTCATCCGAAGGCAGAGCTGAGAGCGAGTGACCGGTAGGCAGAGGAGTGGACTGAGGCGAGGAGTACGTGAAGCGGAAGCGCTGGAGAACCTGCTGCACCATGTGTGACTGAGTCAGGGTGATGGTGCGCCGTGCTCTGTCCCAGGTGATCCGCAAGCCAAGATAGCTCGTCAGCTCACCCAGGTCTGTGCACGTGTGTCTCCTCTGCAGCTCCGACTTCACGTGAGCGAGTGCCGCGGTGTCAGCAGTGGCAAAGACCAAGTCGTCGACGTACACGAGGATGTAGAACGGCGGCAGCGAGGTGTCGGTGCGTAGAAACAGCGACGGGTCAGCAGTAGAGGGAGCGAACCCAAGAGCCGCAAGTGTCGTCCTCAGTGTGTCGTGCCACTCACGTGGCGCCTGGCGGAGACCGTAGACCGGCCGCTGAAGCCTCCACTGGGTGCCAGGAGGAAATGACCCAGTGAAGCCAGGGGGGCGGCGCAGCCAGATCTCCTCGTGCAGGCTGCCCTGCAAGAAAGCAGTGCTGAAGTCAAGAGAGTGAAGCTCGTAGTCGCGGTGAGCGGCTATGTGCAGCAGCACCCGAAGAGTAGTCATCTTCGGGGTGGGGGAGAAGGTCTGAAAGAAGTCTACTCCCTCTCGCTGACTGAAGCCTCGAGCCACGTAGCGCGCCTTGAAGACAGGTGGAGAACCCGGAGGCCGCTTCACCCTGAAAATCCACATGCCACTGACGATGTTCGCCCCAGGAGGGGGAACCTCGTCTACGTAGGTGCCTGTGGACTTCCAGGAGGCCATCTCTGCGTCCATGGCTGTCTGCCACTGAGAGGAGTAGGGACCCGCCATCGCCTCAGCGTAAGAGCGTGGGGTCGGGATGTCTGGTGCATCCGGGTCTCCCTCAGGGGCAACTAGCAAGGACACGAGACGGGGCAAAGCAGCAGCAAGGCAGTGGAACTCCTCCTGTCTGTCCTCAAGGACGTCCGTGCCGAGGGCACACTCACCCCCGACGGACGGAGGACAGGCAGACGCAGACTCAGACCTAGCGACAAGGCTGGCAGCGTAGTCTAGGCGACAGCGAGCAGCAAAGTCAACCAACTCAGCTACCAGAGCAGACGCAGCAGAGGACTCAAAGGTCGGGTCAGTGACAACTGTAGCAAGGAGACGCGTAACAGTGGGACTGGCAGCACGACGGGAGTCAGACTCCGGGTCAGGAAGAGTAGGAAGAGAGGACGCAGGAGGAGACGGCAGCGGGACACGCTGCGGAGCAGTGGAGGGACGCAGAGTCATGTAGTGAGTGCCAGGGACAGGAGGAGGACGCTCACGTGGGACACGACGACCAGTGCGAGCAGTACGAACAGGCGACGCAGGACGAGACTCAGGCTCACGACGCTCTGTAAGACCTCCTGTGGGACCAGTGTAAGGGGAGGGAGCAGGGAGAGGCGAGACAGGCGGTAACTGTGACTGCGGCTGGACAGGCAGAGGACACTCGACGGAGGGAGGAGGACAAGGAGGAGGAGCCTGACCAAGAACCTGCTGAAGGAGCGGTACGAAGTACGGTCGCGGCCGCGCAGCGTCTCCAGAAGCAGCAGGGACACCAGTGGCAGCCCCAACGCCCGAGTCCTCAGCACCAGCAGCAGCTCCAACGCCCGAGTCCTCAGCACCAGCAGCAGCACCACCGGTCGGGTCCTCAGCACCAGCAGCAGCTCCAACGCCCGGGTCCTCAGCACCAGCAGCAGGGCCACTGGTCAGGTCCTCAGCACCAGCAGCAGCGCCACCGGTCGGGTCCTCAGCACCAGCAGCAGCTCCAACGCCCGGGTCCTCAGCACCAGCAGCAGCTCCAGCGTCCGGGTCCTCAGCACCAGCAACAGCACCACCGCTCGGGTCCGCAGTACCAGGAGCACCACTACGAAGACTGCAGCGCCGCGTGTACCACTCGCGGATCACCTGAATGGGGGGGAGCTCCTGGGTAGGAGGGGAAGTACCGGGACGAGCTCCAGAAGCACCTCTCCGGAGGCGGCAGTACTCGAGGTACCTCTCCTGCAGCTGCTGGGAGGAGGGGGCTCCTCCAGGTGGAGCACGCTCAGGCTCAGCACCCCCAGACTCAGCACGTCCAGACTCAGCACCTCCAGGCTCCGCACCTCCAGGCTCCGCACCTCCAGGCTCAGCACCCCCAGGCTCCACACCTCCAGGCTCAGTACCTCCAGGCTCCGCACCTCCAGGCTCCGCACCTCCAGGCTCAGCACCCCCAGGCTCCGCACCTCCAGGCTCAGCACCCCCAGGCTCCGCACCCTCAAACGCAGCACTCCCAGGCTCAGCACCCCCAGACGCAGGACGCGAGTCAACAGCTACCTCGACAGGCTCACCCGGGTCTACCTGGGACACACCTGAGGGAGCGGCACCCTGAGGGGGGAGGGGGTCTGGTACCTCAGCACCTGGAGCGAGGAAGAGAGGCGGAGGGGGGAGCGGGGCAGTGCGGTAGGGGAAGAGGCGGTAGAAGGGGACGGACTCGTCAAAAGTGACGTCCTGAGAGGCCAGAACCCGGCGCGAGGTGACGTGGTAAAACTGCCATCCAGGCGCGTCGGGAACAAAGCCAAGAAAGACACAGGGAACAGTGCGACGCGAGAGCTTGTCCGCGGACGTGTCGCGGACAAAAGCTCGAGATCCCCAGACCCGGAAACGCGACGCATCGCCAACCTCTCCCGTCCACCGTAGAGTCGGGGAAGTCTCCGGCAAGGAGACACGGGGCCAGAGGTTGAGCTGATG